AGATGAACAGATTAGTCACAAATTGCTAACTGTTGTAGCTTGTGACAGATGAATTCATTTTTTTTCTCTAGTTTTGAACATTTAAAAATTTCTCCACAGTAATCAAGTTTTAAAATGACATGTATACTTACTGATATTCAAAGAACCTCATTATTTAAAAAAGAACATGAGAATTTGTTCCCATTTACAAATAATTATATAAATCTGCTTCTCTAGACTAGAGAGAATTCTAGAAGACACTAACCAAAATATGTTCAATGGTCCTTCCTAGATGTTAGCATTTTGGATAAATTTTACTTCCATCAGATTTTAATTTTCTTTACAATGAGTTTAATTTGACACACACACACACACACACACACACACACACACACACACACACACAAATAAACCTATCTCCTCCCCTTCTTCCCCCCAAAATATTTTAAAAGCTTCTGTAAACAAAATACCACGGGGGTTCATACTATTCCTAAACTCAGTGGACAGCCTTTGAGGTGAGGTGTGCAAGGCCACGCACTGCTGACACCCCCATTCCCCGTGCAGGGCAGCCTGAGCATAGGGGTCTCCGGGAAGAGACCAGGCTCTGAGCCTGAGGACAGGACAGGAAAAGCTCATTTCTGAGGCCCCACGGCAGAGCCTTTGTGCAGTCAGGCCCACCTGACTCCAAAGCCCAGGGAGAATTTTAGTAAACCATGTTGTGGAGTGGGGGAAAGTCAGCATCTTCGCATTCTAGCCCAATTTTTTTTTTTTTTTTTAGTATATTCTTTTCTCATCCTTTTCTGTGTAAGTATATACTTCTACATAATTGTACCCATTGCACACATACCATGTCCTATCTTTGTTCCTGAGCGTGTTTCCTCAGGTTTCTATAGGCTTTCAAGGGGTCAGTCAAAATCTAGTAAAACTCCATTGAGTAGTTGTACTATAAAATAATATGCATTTTGGGTTTGGGGTTTTTGTGAGCTGTTTTTTGTTTTGTTGTGTTTTGTTTTGTGTGTTTTTTTTTGCCACAATTTACCTCGTCGCCCACTCCACGCCTTCTCAGCCATCCTATCACTCTCCCCACGGCGCTCTCCCCGGATATCCGGCCTCGGAGCTGCCCAGGGGACGCAGGGGACGCAGGGGACGCAGACGTATGCGCGGGAAAAACTTGCGTGCGTCCTAGAGACTTGAGCGCGCCCGAGACCTGCGCCTGCGCAAATCCGCAAGTCCGCGCCCCATCGACAGTCCCAGGAGGCGGGGCCGGGCAGCTGCTCGTGGAAGCACGTGGCCCGCAGGCGCTGCTTCCGCTCTGCCCGCGGGAGGGGCTCCTCCGCTGGGCGCCGCTCACAGCCGCCGCCGCCTCCCGCCTCCCACGTCGGGTGCGGGGGGCGTCTCAGGCTCAGTAAGCGGCGCCGCCGGTCGGCTGGCCCCTTTAAGTCCTGATTTGTAATATAATGTTGTCATGACCGTTTCATGGTCGCATTTCCACCTGACAATCTGTTTCTCCTCGTTGCGCCGGTTCCAGAGGTTACACTAACCCAAATAGTTATCCAATTCCCATTGCGGACAAGTTGCCTGGCCAGGACCCAGGGCGGCGCGGAGAGGGCCCTAGAGGCGCAGGCAGGGAGTGGCGGCGGGAAGGCAGCACTTCCGGGGGTGACCGGCCTTAGCGGCTCACTTCCGCCTCGGATGGGCCCTTTCCTCTCGGGAAGGGCACACAGATCCGGAGCGGAAGCAGAGTTGCCGCTGCAGCTTCCTCTCTGATTCATTCTCCCGCAGTCCTAGCCCCTGCGCCATTGTCTTCCAGCAGGGGGTGCCTCATCCCTACTGCTCCCCTGACTTCCTCTCGCTGAGGTCCCTGACCAGGCCCCCAAACACAGGGAAGCACAGACAGCTGGATATGGAGCCTTGTTGCCTGGTCTTTCTGTACTTATTTATTTATTGACTGTCATCAAACTTTTATTTCTTTACTTTTATTTTTTTATTTAAAAAATATATATTTTATTGATTTTTTTACAGAGAGGAAGGGAGAGAGGCAGAGAGTTAGAAACATCAATCAGCTGCCCCCTGCAACCAAGGTACATGCCCTGGGCCAGAATCGAAACTGGGACCCTTCAGTCCACAGGCCGATGCTCTATCCACTGAGCCAAACCGGTTTTGGCTTTCATTATTTTTTTTATTAAGGTATTATATGTGTACATATCTTACCATTACGTCCCCACCCCACTCCCATACATGCCCTCACCCCCCAGAGTTTTGTGTCCATTGGTTATGTTTATATGCATGCATATGTCCTTCCGTTGATCTCTTATCTCCCCCACCTTTCCCTAACCTTCCCGCTATAATTGGACAGTCTGTTTCTTGCTTTACTGTCTCTGTATCTTTTTTTGTTCATTGATTTATAATGTTCTTTATTATCCGTAAATGAGTGAGATCATGGAGTATTTTTCTTTCACTGAGTGGCTTATTTCCCTTAGCATAATGTTGCCAGGTCTTAAGGTCTTTGCTGTTTTTCCAGCCTCCTAACCTCCTTTCTGGCCCTCATCTACTCCACACGTGTCCTGGCCAGCCCCTCCTGCACCTGCCCCTCCTGCACAGCCTGTCTCTCTTCAAGGCCTTGTCGCCTGCCCTGCTCCCCACCTCATGCGGTTCCCTTTCTAAGAACACCCGAGGACCTGCATGCTTCCTGAGGGCAATGTACAGGTTGCTCGGTAACGCCCCAGCATCTGCATGGCACTCACAGCAGGAGTGATACCTATTTGTGCTATTAAACGAACCTGTGAAGGTGTCCCAGGGTCGCTTCACACCTTTGAGTCTCAGTTTCATCATCTGTAAAATGGGTTTAATGTTAAAGTCTTCTTTAGCTCCAAAAGTCATTAGACCAAGTAACTGGGTTTCTCATGCAGCAGTCTTGTTAGAGAAAAAAATATTTCATTTTTCAGCTGATTCTTAAATAAATTTATTCCAGTGTACTATTGGAAACCAGTCACTGCCTTAGAAATTGGGGTTAAATCTACTATCATTGTAAAGCTGCTATTGGTCTCTTGGCTCCCATAACATTTTGTTTGGTGGTAGATTTAATTTTTATCAAATAATCCACTGGCATTTAAAAATCAAATTGTGTTAACAGCTCTGCTCCTCAGTGTGCTCTCTAGAGGCAATTATTTTCAACATTTTCAGCTACTTTGGAACTTCCAATTTTCCCTAAATTGGAAGGTCTTCCCTCCAATTTTTCCTAAATTTTCTGGCTTTTGTTTGTTATTATTACAAGTGTCCTGAGACAAATCACCACAAATTTAGTGGCTTAAAACCACACCGATTTATTGTCTTGCCATCCTGAGACCAGAAATCTGAAAATGGGTTAAAATCAAGGTATTGGCAAGGCTTTCTTCCTTTGATAAGCTCTAAAATGATAAGGAGACTCATTTTCTTGCCTTCTCCAGCTTCTAAAGGCTGCCCATTTTCCTTGGCTCAAGGCCCCTTTCTTGGTCACTCCTACCTCACCATTTTCTGACTCTGACCCCCATCCCCCAACTTCCTTTTATAAGGATGCTTATGATTACCTTGGGCTTGCACTAGTAATCCAGGTAATCTCCCCGTCTCAAAAACCCTTAACTTAATCATGGCTATAAAGCTCCTGTGGCACAAAAAGTAGCATATTCACAGGTTCCAGAGATTAGAATGTGGACGTGTTTTAGGGTGGAAGGAACGTTATTTGACTTCCCAAAGGTTCTAACAGACCTGTGGAATGCCTGCCAGTTTCATCAGATAAACTACCAGTTCCAAGTTCTGAGTCTTTTGGGACCTTTCACATGGGATTTGGCTCCTTCTGGTTCATACCCCCTTTGCAGACATATAGGCTGTAGCTTCCCATGGTGTGCTCAGTGAGGAAGTTACTGTGCCAAGCATATACTGACATCACCTGTGCAGTACTCTCTCCTCTCCCGTCCTCTTTGTTTTTGTGGAATTAAACCCATTTTAATCCTGCACTCTCATTTTAGTGGGATTCTGGGGGCAGGGGAGGAGGGGTGGGAGGGGAAGAGGGGGCGGAGGAGGAATAATAAACAAGTGTAATCATGTTTATCTGATAGTTGCTTTTCACGCAAGTTTTCATAGTGGGGAGATATATATAACATATATATTATATAAATAAAAATATATATAATATATATTTTTTATTTTATTTTATTTTATTATTTTTTTAAACAGGGCCAAAAAGGGAGAGTTTTCACTGTGACTCAGGCAGGTGACCAGGAATGAGTAGCTGGGAGATCCAGTTTAATCTGAATAACAGAGCTCATTTTCCACACCAAGTTCTGTGTGGAAAATCCCTGTGCAGGTCTTGCCATAGGGATTTCTCTTTATGTCAGTAAGAGCTAATGTGACCTGATGAAAGAGCAAAGGCTTAGGAGTCAGGTAGACTATGTTTACTCAGTAACTTGCTACCTCCATGAGCTCTCTAAGCCTCAATATCCTCATCTGTAAATGGGTAATTAAAACCAGCCAGAGTGGTTCAGTGGTTGAGCGCTGACCTATGAACCTGGAGGTCATAGCTCAATTCCCGGTCAGGACACATGCCCAGATCGTGGGCTCTATCCTCTGTGTACGGTGTGCAGGAGGCAGCCAATCAATGATTCCCCCTCATCATTGGTGTTTCTATCTCTTTCCTTCTCCCTTCCTCTCTGGAATCAATAAAAATATATTTAAAAAGAAAAAAATAATCGATCACTTCCTATGTACCTGGCTCACACAGTAAACACTCAGTTATAGCAAATGTTAAACTGCTTTCAAGTCAAGCCTGAGATGGCAAGGAAAGAGCTGTGCTTCTATAGTTAAGACCCTGAACCAGATCAACAGCCTCCAGAATCTTCCATCTGTGCTTTGGGCCTTCCCTGGGTTCTTCACAATTTATCTCTATGCACTGTTGCTTTGACTGAATGGTGTGACTCTGCTCTTCTCCTCCCATTTCAGCAAGGGCCTCCTGACCTAGCAGCTAAGACTGCCACAGACTTCCTACCATGTACCCCAACCCTCTCATCTACTGCACCTGCTGGGACCCCTGGAACTTGGGGCCACGGAAGCTAATCAAGACCCCTCAGCCACCAAGAAAGACCTGCACACAGAAGACCAAGTAAGGATTGCCTGGGATGGACGAGAGCTGGGAGCTTGGGGTCCATTTGCAGCCTTTTTTCTCTCACAAGATTTCCAAAACAATTTGGTAGCAAAGATCCCGAGGGGGCCAGAAAGCCTAGCTCTGCATGGCTTTCCCTGTCAGCCTGTTAGCTGTACGTTGCTCCTGCCAGTCCTGCCTAGGCATAATGTCACTGTAAGAAGGAATCTCAGAGTCGGTTGAGCAGAGAGGAGGGCTTGCAACCAAAGGGCCCCATGGCAGCTGCCCCTCCATACGGGACCACGAGCTTTGGGAATTGGGGGACAAACTGTGCTGCCAACCGGGGACCCCTGAGGACAGTGAGCAAGTGCCAAGGTGTTCAGCCTGAGGCTGCCAAAGATCATTGTTGTCAGCCCATATTTCCTAATTCAGGGTCACTGTGAAGGGGTACCTCCTCTGGCAGTTCTCAAACAGATTTCTGAATTTCCAGTTCTCTCTTTTTGCTATCTGTTTTTACCTTTCAGGCTAGCTCCTCTTCCTCCGGCTTCAAAAAAACAAAATTATGTCCAACCACCAAAAAAACCTGCTGTCCCCCCAAAGTAAGTATCTTCATGTGTGTGGGTGGGAATGGTTTAAGGTTTGTGAAAAAACCATCTCCTTCCTTGGCCTTCACACCCTTGCCTGAGACTTGAACTCATTGCTGTCACAAATGTCAGAGGATTGTCAGAATCCACTGTGGTTTCCCTCAAACTTCAGATCCTATAGATAGATTCTGTGGCCCTCTGTGCCCACAGCTTTCAGAATCACCACAAATGAGCTTTCAGCTCAGGTGCCCTAACAACTGTTTCCTACCCAAAGGGGCACAGTTCTTGATGCCTGTTAAAGGCAAAGAGCCTCCCATTGGTGGTGTTTCACCCTTTTATGGATTACTTTCCTGTGTCTAAGATTGTTTATAAATTGCAACTCTGTTTTTACTTATAAATTTAAAAATTTACCAATATTTTATAAGCTTATAAATATAACTTAATTTTGTCTTTGCCTGAGTCTTTGTATTCTGTTTATTTATTTGGAATATATTTGCTAAGCACTTTTCTACGTTCAAGAAACAGCAGTGAACACAAGAGAGCCTCTGATCTCTTGGAGTTGACAGTCCCTCTGTAAAGGGGACAGTGGGAGCCACACTGACATCTGGGCCAAGTACTCCTGTCAGAAAGAGCAGCAAGTACAAGGATTGTGAGGAACTCGCTTGGCACACCTCGCCTTTTCCAGGAAAGCAAAAAGACCAGTGTGGTGGGAATGGAGGACATGAAGATAGAGTGGTGGGAGATGAGCTCAGAGAAGTAACAGAGGTGATGAATGTTCCCCAAAGATGTCTGTACACTAATCATGTGATCATGTTCTGTTATTTGCTGCTTTTGGGCAATTGAGATGACAGATGAAATTATGTTCGCTGAACAGCTGACCGTGACAGATTATCCTGGATTATCTAACCGGGCCACGTGTAACAATAAAGGTCCTTATATGTGAAAGAGGAAGTCAGAGAAGGAGATGTGACAATAAAAGCAGAGTTAGGAGTGTGCAACTACTGACTTTGAAGATGGAGAAAAGTGGGCAAGGGAACGGGTTTTCTTCTAGAGCCTCCAGGAGGAATACAACCCAGCCAGCACCCTGATTTCTACCCAGTGAAGCCCTTTGCAGACGTGACCCTAAAACTGAAAGATAATAAATTGCCATTGTTTAAAGCCACTTAGAGTAGTTTATACAGCAGCAAAAGGAAATTTACACAGTGAAATTTGCTGGCCACTGTAAGGACTTTGGCTTTTACTCTGAAAGGGATGGTGTATCGGCTGCTAGACCTGCCATGACAACAACAATAACAAAAGACAGGGCAGCTTAAGCAACAGACACATATTTTCTCACAGTCCTGGAGACTGGAAGACCAAGAGCAAGGTGCTGGCAGGCTGGTTTCCTCAGGACTCTCTCCTGGGCTTGCAGTTGGGTGCCTGTTTGCTGCCTCTTCACATGACCTTTCCTTTGTGCGTGTGCCTCCCTAGACTCTCTGTGCATCCTTGTCTATCTTGTGAGATCACCATTAAGATCGGATTAGGGCCCACCCTAATGGCCTTATTTTACCTAGATGCCTTATCTCCAAATACAGTCACATTCTGAGATAACAGGGGTTAGGACTTCAACATATGAATTTGGAGTGGGGAGAGGTAGACACAACTTAGCCCATAACAGCTGGGAAGCCACAGAGGATTCTGAGAAGAGTGACACGATCCAACTTGCGTTTTGAAAAGACTAATCTGGCTACTGCACTGAGAATGAAGACTTACTTCGGTGGCCAAGAGAGGAAGCCTTGGGAGAAGCCAAGGGAGATAATGTGCAATTGCAGGGACCCCACCAAGGGATGGTGGTGATTGAACCTGTTGGAGACAGTAGAGGTGGTAAGAATTGGTTGAATTCTAAATATATACTAAAGCTAGAAACCGATAGGCTCTGCTAATGGGATGGTTATAAAGTATGAAAAAAAAAATCAGAAGGAATCAAAGCTGACTTCAGGATTTCTGTCTAAGCCACAGGAAGGATGAAGTTGCCATTTTCTGTGACTGGGAAGACTGGAGGAGGTGCATATATGTAGGGGATTGGGCTTATACAGTTTGAGATCTCCCTTAATTTCCAAGTGCAATGTCAAGTAAGCAGCTGGGTAAGCAGGTCTGAGAGGTCTGAGTTGCGGGTACACATTTGAGAGTCATTAGCATATGGTACTTAGAGCCCTGCACCCAGGTGAGATCTTCAAGGCAAGGAGTGGAGACAACGGTAGGAAGAGGTGGGAGAACTGAGCCCAGAGCACTCCTGTTGGGAGGAGGGAGAGATGAGAGGATCGGAAAAGGGCACCAAGAAGGAGTGGCCAGTGAGGCAGATGAAGAATCATCTACCTGGTGTTCTGGAAGCAAAACAACAAAAATGTTTCAAGAAGGAGGGTCTGATTATCTGTGTTAAAAACCATTGCTAGTCAATTAAGATGAAGGCTGAGAAGTTCTCTTGGACTTAGTAGCCTGCATGTTGGTGACAACGAAGGGAATCGTCTCAGTAGAGTGATGGTGGCAAAGCCTGAAGGGAATTGGATCCATTCATAATAAGGAGTCCACGAATACCTATGTCTGAAACGTGTCCTTGTTGCCTGCCTTCTGTGTGCTGGCACCCTGTAGGCATGACCCCACTTGTGGATCTTACCTAACTTCCATTTCAACAGGCAAGCTCAAGGCCTCAGCTAACCAGTGCTTCTTGTGGGGAGAGACCTCACTAAGACCCACAGCTCCACTCTGACCACCAACATTAGCCCTGGCCAATATTGTCCTCCTCTGGCTTTGCAATATATGAGGAACACTTTATGGGTATTTAAAAAATATTTAATACTAAATATTTTAATATTTAGTTTTTTAATATTTAAAATTTTAGAAAAAATTTTTAAACAATTTTAAATATTATAATGTTACATGCAGTAAACACCAATTATTTGTGGGTATTTTTAAATTTCCTATCAAAGCCCTACTAATTGTATTTACAACTTTCCAGTAAGACCATTCAAGGCAACTTATCCCCTGAAACATCTAAAACCCATCTTCTAAAACCAATTCAAAGAACACACACTGGGTGTTGTGGCCTCTGCTCGGGCCCTGGCCAGCACTTGGGAAGGGAAATGGAGCAGCCACTCAGGAGGGCCGCTGCTGCTGGCCTCACTCTGGGGAAGAGGCCCAGGCAGATGTTGACATGACCTCCAAATAGGGACAAAGAAGCTGCTCAGCAGTCAACTTTTAACCTAGGCCTCCACCCTCAAACATGCCACCTTGACTCCCTGAATTACATCTCCTTTGTGAATCCTATAATTTTCTTGCAAATATATAATTTTTTTTGTGTTAAAAGTTTTCAATTCTTTTTAAAAAATATATATTTTATTGATTTTTTACAGAGAGGAAGAGAGAGGGATAGTTAGAAACATCGATGAGAGAGAATCATCAACCAGCTGCCTCTTGCACACCCCTTACTGGGGATGTGCCCGCAACCAAAGTACATGCCCTTGACCAGAATCGAATCCACTGAGCCAAACCGGTTTCAGAAAAAGTTTTCAATTCTTAAACATGAACTATAACTCAATTTTTATAACTCTATTTTGGCAATTCTTGGGGTTTGTTTTTATTTTTATTTTGTATACATCAGAGGCCTTGAAAAATGGCAGTGGCAGAGTGCTCGCAATCCTTTAGAGACACAATTAGAAAATCTCTTTATCTGTACTTCTCTATGGCACTTTTAACTCTTTTTCTTCGTCTAGTTTCAGTATTTATGTGCCTTTTTTTCATCTCTTAAATAAAACTAACACATCTCATTCCATTTTTCTTGGTACAGAGCACTATGGTTTGCATATATTAACTACTCATTGAATTCATTAAATGAGAAAATGTGAAATGCTTTCATTGATGTCAACAAAGTATCAAAATTAGGTCATTGTAATCAGAGTAACAGGTAGACAAGGACAAAAAGAGTAAAGATGAGTCATTCTGGATCAACCTTTCCTTTTTCTTTTCAGTGAGAGTAGCATTGTTTTCTGACAAAATGAATATCTATGTAGCCACATAGAAGGTCCAAAGTTAAAGCAATGCTGTGGAAGGTCTCAGTTTGTTCAATGAGATTAACTAAGAGCAAAAAATGGCATAAACTCAAATCCATGGTCCGTTTTTTAATGACATCTGGGCCATCCATTGGTTTCCCAACAAAGCTTTCTTAAATTCAGAGAAAACAAACCAAATTACCCATTGTGGACAGTTGAATTAGGAACATTTGGTTGATTTAAGTTGCATTTTAAATGATTTTAAATCTTAAATTACATGTGGACCTTATTGAAATATTAATGTATATTATGCACTCATGCCCATTTCTTAACACATAGACTTTTTTTTTTTTTTTTTGTCAGTGAAAGTTAAAGTCAAAGGTTGGTGGTCACCTCTAAGGTAGCCAAATCCTTGGAATGGTTTTCTCAGTGCTTCTCTGGAGGCTCCCTGTGGGGCTGGGAGATGTGGGATCTAAACCAGAATGATGATTATTAACTAAGATGGAGCTGCTTCCACCAGGAAAAGTCCTTCCAACCCCACTGCCCACATCCAGAGTCAGCCACAGACTCTGGACCAGTCACATCCTAGTAACTGACTCCACAGCCCTTACTGATACTGTGGTTGTTTTGATTTTGGGAACTGGACTATATTTTTTTAAATATATCTTTTTTTTTTTTTTTTTCAGAGAGGAAGAGAGAGGGATAGAGAATTAGAAACATCAGTGAGAGAGAATCATCGATCAGCTGCCTCTTGCACGCCCCCCACTGGGGATGTCCCCGGCAACCAAGGTACTTGTCCTTGACTGGAATCGAACCCGGGACCTTTCAGTCCACAGGCCGACGCTCTATCCACTGAGCCAAACCAGTTCGGCTAGAGCAGATTTTAGTTGTCTCTCATCACAGCAGTTGCCCAATGGTTGTGTACATGTGTAGTGTGTGGAGGTCAAGGGGAGAGGCCTATCTATCTTTGTCAGCACATCAGAAGGTGGTTACTCTTACTCTCATATTTCAACCTTCTAGGTGAACTTCCTTATAAATACTTTTTTGATATTTGGGTACCTGATAATATACTCATGTTTCTGTACCTGAAACAAAAATTTATTATGATCAGGGTTAGTACCAGATCTCAAAATAGTAACACTTTGCTTATCCTGAATTAACCTTGCAATTTCGGGGTCCCCGAACATGGAATTCTGGTGCAAATGAGAAGAAAAGTGATTGCAGAGACAACATATATGTCACTAAAAAAATGTGTGCATTTATGATTATGCACCATCCCTTTGAATTTCACTCCAAGCTTCTTGGCCCTTATTTTAAGAATGGTTCTACTATTAGACTAGTGACTAGTTGATTTCCCAGTTTTTCACTACCTGCCATTTTATTACAACCTATGTACCAATGGTCTCTGGACCACTAAATATTCTCTATTTTCTAAAGTATAATATTTTTAAGAACTGAAGGGCCACACAGATTATCCTAGGAATGTCACATTTTGCAGATGAGTGGCGGGGTCAGGGCACAGCTGATCTTGGAGCTTCTCCTTGCTCTCTGGTTGCTTCTGAGCATGCATTTCTCTTGCAGAGTGAAAACCCGTTTAGGAAAAAAAGAGGAGAGCACTACTTTACCTTCTGTGAGTAAAAATGGAAAGAGGGTTGTGGGGGGATATACAGTTATTGAGTACCTACTGTGTGCAGGCATGGGCCTTTTACATGTACTGACTTCATTGAATCTTTGCAATGATCCTATGAGGAGGTGCTGGAATTACTGCACATCGTGTAGGACCAGGACTTGAACTCAGCTCTGCCAGACCCCAGAGAGAGTGTTTAATGACCTCTTCACTGCCTTGCGTAGGGTGAGGAGAGTGTCCCAGGAAAACCAGGTGGTGACAGTCAGTCCAGGACAGGAGACAACTCATGCACAGGGGTAGGAAACCCTCTGCTCTACTTGGGAATCCACACATGCTGAGCAAGGGGCCGCCAGGGCATAAGAGGGGGCAGGGTAGGAGCACACTGGAGAAGGAGATGGGGAGCAAACCCTGAAGGATCTTGACACCCTTCTAGAGGTTTGGGCCCAAACCTTTTGATGTCTTGGAACCTTTATGGGTCTGACAGGCATGTGACCAGATAAGATTTACATTTTAGGGGGGAGGGGGGGAGAACACACCCTCTGGTGGGATATAATTGGTACTCTTACTACTTTCTGCTTTTATCTATTTTACTTTCTCTCCTAAACCCCTTCAAAGCAGATCATGTGATCCCTTAATGGGCAGGAAAAAAGTAAACCAAAATGTCACAGCCCTCCAGGTGGAGAGGATGATGAATTTAGAGGAGCCAGATTGAAGGTGGAGAGGCCCGCTGGGAAGGTAGCTCCAGAGCCCAGGAGACACATGGTGGTAGCCTCTGGTTCTATCGGGCAAGGCTGGGAGAGGAGAGGATGAGGATGAGATACTTTTAGGAGATAACAGCGCCCGGACCTGGGGCCTGCAGGGGTGTCCCACACAACTCTAGAAGGTACAGTCACATCCGGACCTATGGCGGCCGGTAGCCCTGCATCTGACGGGGGACAGAGAAGGAACTGACTAAAAAAAGTTTTTTGCAACTGTGCTAGGCATTTTCTCATGTCCATTTGTTTTAGCTTCACTTCTGGACACGACGGAGAACATAGAGGAGAAACAGGTTTGGGTGTAGAATGTGCAGTGGGTGTTAATGGCTGGATTTTAGAAATGTTGAGCTTGAAAGGCATAGGGAGACATCCAGGATCTAGTTGAGTCTTCGGACTGGATCTCAGGAGAGAAATATGGAGATACGAGGGTGAGTGGTAACAGGGGAGGGCACAGTCCATCTCAAGTCTCTGTTTGTAGATGTGAGAGGGGCACTGGTGGATTTGGGGGACGCTCGGCTCTCTGCAGTATTCTCTTACCTCCCACCCTGTTGCCTAGGAAGTGATCAACGTGAGCCCTGGCTATCGCCTCTTTCGAAATAGGGAGCAGATTTCCGTCACCTTGGGAGATGAGATGTTTGGTAGGAAAAATCATTTGAAATCGGAGATTATGGACAAAATCAGCACTCGCAGGTAATGTCTTTGGACCAACATCCAGTTCCTCAAACCTCTCCCTAGCTGGCTCAGCCTGGCCTAATGTCCACTCCCAGTCTCGCTCTGGAGATGCTGTAAGTCACTCCACTCCATGCCTCAGCCCTCTGCCTGCTCCGCTCCACCCGGCCTCTCTGCTTCAATCCCATTCTAGTCAGGATGAAGGTCAACTCAGTGGATCTGGAAAATGATTAGGTGTGCTATAATTTGTATTAAAGGAGAGCAGTTTTTCCTGAAAGTAATGAACTGATGAGATATTAATACAATAAATTTGTTGGTTGAAAACTAAAAGTCAGGCTTTCTGGGAGGCCTGAGTATACATCCCTTTTTTATTATGTCCAAAGGTGGTACTAAGTTCATGCCTCTGGGAGATGTAGCTCAGAATATTCTGATCTGACTCCCTCCCAGTTGAGTACATTGTCATCCTCTCTGTCATTCAAGTCCCACCCACTCTCTATCCTCCAGTGCCATGTAAAAGCGGTTCCCACATCCTTTTCATTCCACCTCCTAAATCTCTCATGTCTTCTTCCCTTTCCCCATCTACCTACACTATTGCAGTGGTTCCCCAATGAGTGTCTCTTCCTTGGACTTTACATTGCTATGAAAATTATTTTTTCAAGACAGAAATCTAAAGACTAACAATAGCAACAGAACACACACACACACACACACACACACACACACACCCCACCTAGTATACAGATATAGAGAAAGGATACAACCAGGCTATTAGCAGTGGTTTCATTTGGGAAGGGATTCAGACTGAGATAAGGCTGAAGGACACATAGGCCCACTACTCAGAGGGGCCATGCATGAAGTCATTCAGATCTGAGCTGGCCTAGCGAAACCAGACTCCAGTCTCTGTGTTCCCTCCAGGTCCTGTTTGGTTTGCTGTGTACAGAAGGCCCTGTCCAGGAGATGGGCCATGTACTCACAGTCAAGCTAACACCCTGAAGCACCTCTTGGCCTCATTAAGAAAGTTGTTACCAGTTGTGGCATAATAAAACACAATAGCCCACAATTGTTTTATTCCCTGGTAAAGCTGTATTGTTTATATTGAAGATCATGCTAGGAATTCCCTATTGTTCAACTTTATCCTTTCTCATGTCTTAATGTCCTTTCCTCCCACATCCTTTTGTTTTCTCAACCTCTTGAGACCTCTTCTCTGCTGCACTGCACACAGCACTGCCCACCACTCTGTCTACTCCAGGTCAACTAAACAGAGCTGAGTAATCTTAGATATCATGGAGGCTGCAGACCCAGAAGCACAGAAAGCCTTTATCAAGTCTGAAGGCCTCTCTCTCTTCCTCTCTCTTTTAAATTTTTATTATTGAAAGTATTACATACGTCCTTCTTTCCCCCCCATTAATCTCTCCCAGCCCCCTCCCATCCACCTTCCCCAGGCACTAACCATGCCATTGTCTCTATCCACAGGTAATGCATATATGCGTACAAGTTTATTGGTTGATCTCTTCCACTCACTCTCCCCGGTCTTCCCTCTTTGGTTCAACAGTGTGTTCATACTTCTATGTCTCTGGGTTTATTCTTTTAAATTTATTTATTGATTTCAAAGAGGAAGGGAGAGGGAGAGAGAGATAGAAACATCAATGATGAGAGAGAATTATTGATTGGCTGCTTCCTACATACCCCCTACACAACCTGGGCATGTACCCTTGACCGGAATCGAACCCGGGTCCCTTCAGTCTGCAGGCTGATGTTCTACCCACTGAGAAAAACTGGCTAAAGCTCTGGGTCTATTTTTGCTCATCAGTTTATTTGGTTCATTAGATTCCACATATGAGTGAGATCATGTGATACTTCTCTTTCTCTAACTGGTGAAAGCCATTCTCTTAAATCTCCTCCTCATCCAGTTTCTGGCCCATTTCTTGCCTATGATTCACTGTCAGCATCAATCCCATCCCCCACCTTCTCATTTCCTAATTTTCTTAACTTCTCCCCCCTTCATTTCAATTATCATTACCAAATCAAGGTCAAACCCTAATACCGTGTTTCCCCGAAAATAAGCCATCCTCCGAAAATAAGATCTAGCACATGGAAAGATAAGACATCCCCTAAAATAAGACCTAGAGCAACTTTGGGAGAAAAAATTAATATAAGACACTGTCTTATTTTCGGGGAAATAGGGTAGGTTTCTTACATATTCCATTTCCCCTTCTATTCAGTAGGCTACCAAACCACCCCACTCATTTCTGGCTAACTTACCCAAAAGGGCCATATTTGAGGCTCATCCACCCTACTGCCACATTCCTTCTCTCCACTCCTCTTCCCCTCCCTCCCCACCTCAGTGATGGTGGAGCAGGTACAGCACGTGGCTTGGCTCTCATCAGACCTCATCCATTCATGCTCAGGAAGAGGCCTGACTGGCATGAGATAAAGCTCTGTGGGTGACTAAAGAATTACTTATCCCATAGGACTGATATCATTACTGACCTAGAAGAGCAGATCTCAGATCTGACGATGATAATAGAGCAAATGAACAGAGACCACCAGTCCTCCGAAACAAAGGTGAGTGATCCTTAAGCTAGCTGACATTTCTGTGGGTACAGGAAATACCAAGGTGTTCAAATCACGCTGTCTTCCAGGCATGCTGCCAAGTACTTGACTCACAGGAGCCATGTTGCCCAGGTGAGAGCTCTGAGGATAGGACTGGGGCCACCCAATGGTATTTCTCTGTCTCCATCCCCCTCCATAATTGCAAGAAGTCAAGTCCTTCCACCAGGCCTAGCTGAGTTTCTGTGAGTTCCCCTAGTGCCTGCAGGGTGTCAACACCATTGTTCTCTCCACACGAGGGGGCACTGGCCATTTCCGGCCTGGCGGTAAGTTAAGCTTCAAAGGTTGTGGAGGCTCTTGCTTAGACACCACGGCAGTCAGCACTTTCAGTGTTGCTCAAAAATTACCCAAAAGCCTTCAGTCCCCACTTCCTGTTGCTACTGAAACTACCAAAGCCAAAACTTCAGATGCCGCTGATGTAAATTATACTCTTTGGGTTTCCTGGGGATTTTGGTGAAACCTCCTTTAGATTTTACCATCTATTTTATCATAATGTCTTCTTCCCCACTTCGAGCAGGTGTGCCTGGTGGCTTGCACTGGAGTGATAAACCAGAGCCATAATCAGACCCCCTCCCCGTCTTGCCTGTTGTTATTGAAACGCACTTGTATAAGGTTGAATTCCCAGCGGGTCCAGCCTTCACCCTCTCATGCACCCGAATCCTACAGGGACCCAGCTTATGACTCAAACTGAACCTTCCCTTACTAATGACTCATTACTACTATATTTATCTGAAAGCCCTGGCAGGTTTGTGGGCTGTGGTTTTTCTACCCAAAGAAAATTGAGTCTTGGGAAGTTAAATAATTAGCTTAAGAGCATTTACCTTTATTTGAGAAAATGCTCATTTTCACTCACTTAAGACATATTTAGAGATTACTTTCATGGAGGGACCTCAGATTGTGATCCTTAACATTCACCTAAAAATAAAAGTTCTTCCACCTGTAAACACCCCAAATTGTTGTGTGACCCTGAACAAGGGAGGAGTGCTGGTGCCTCTGTTCAGTCAGAGAGGGAAGGACAAGCCCTGAAGCCTTGGGTGCTGACTAATTTGGAAGTGTCCACTCCTCCTGAGACAATGGCCAGAGGACTGGATGTTCTGGCATGGAGGGTCACCTGGAAGTGGGCAGAATTTGCCTGCTGGAACCCAGACATCCTGCCAACGAGTCTTGAACACTGGATTTAAAGTTCTTCGAAGACCTCTTTGGCTCTTCCAGGCCAAGTCATTTGTTTAAGAAATGATTTTTCAATTGAATTCTGTATTTGGGGGGTTTAAGGCCACACTCTTACAAAGAAATTACAGCCCAGCAGAGAGGACCAAGCCTGCTCACAAAACCTGGTGGTGACAGGGTGGTTTTTGTGCACCAACCCTATAAGCTGATCACATGCCAGACCACACAGAGCAAGACAAGAATTGTTCTGTTCCTTCATAATGACACAGAGACACGGGGGGGGGGGGTGGAGCGGGGTGCACCCCTTGAGTCAGAAGGCTTCTCAAAAGTTGCAGACTGGAGTGGGAGTGGGGTCTTCAATCCTGTGTTACTGATGATGGCCTCATTTGCAGCTCTCCAATGAAATGGAAAAGCGCTGTGCTGAGATGAAGCAGGACTTTGAAAACAAGAGCAGGTATGTTTTCTGGCAAAAGCCCTTGTGTGCAGGAGGCCCTAAGGCTCCTGCATCCTCCAGGACTTCAGTTCACTGGATTTCAGACACTTCAAATGGAGCTAGGTAACCAGGGGTGGGGAAGGTGAGATGCATGTCTTTGGAGAGCAGAATAGTTTGATTTGAGGCACAGAAAAGGTTTGGCACTTTCTTATACAATTGTTTCATTCCCATTATAATCTCCTTTTTTGTTGGTTGCTTCAAAGAACCCATCTTTTATTTTCTTTTTTCTTTTTTTCAAATTTCTTTATTGATTAAGATATCACATATTTGTCCTCATCCCCCCATTCCCATCCCAAACCCCTCCCACGCATGCCCCCAGCCCCCTTTTGTCTGTGACCACTGGTTAGGCTTATATGCATGCATACAAGTTCTTTGGTTGATCTCTTCCCCTTATCCTCACTCTCCTCTACCTACCCTCTGAGGTCCAACAGTCTGATCAATGCTTCCCTGTCTCTAGATCTTTTAAAATTTCCATGTGAGCCGAAACCGGTTTGGCTCAGTGGTAGAGCGTCGGTCTGCGGACTGAAAGGTCCCGGGTTCGATTCTGGTCAAGGGCATGTACGTTGGCTGCGGGCACATCCCTGGTGGGGGATGTGCAGGAGGCGGCTGGTCGATGCTTCTCTCTCATTGATGTTTCTGGCTCTCTATCTCTCTCCCTTCCTCTCTGTAAAAATATCAATAAAATATATTTTTTTAAAAATTTCCATGTGAGATTTCTGTGGTAGACAGCTGTGGTTCTCAGCCCAACCTCTTCCATCTTCTCCTCTTTCTCCTCTCCTCTCCTCTTATTGCTGCTCTCCCTGGCTGCTAGGTCAGGACCTGGGTAAAATGGCAAGAAGGTATGGGAGGGGCAGGAGCCAGAGCCCCAAGGACAAACCAAGAGGAAATAAATGAGGTGTGTTGTCTGTGTGGGTGAGGAAACCTATAAAATCCCCTCCATGCTACCTGCTGGGCTCAGAAGCCCTGGTGGAGAGAAGTCTTCCAAATGGAATCATAGGCTTTTTCCTTAAAAAACAATTTTTTTTAAATTAATTGATTAACTTATTTTATTTCCTAACTTATTTATTTTTGATAGAGTTTCATTTTAGAGTAGTTTTATGTTCATAGTTAAATAGAGTGTAAAGTACAGACACTTCCCATATATTCCCTCACCTCACATCTGCATGTCCTATGGCATTACTGACACCTTGCATTGCTGGTGTGCATCTGTTACACTCAATGAACCTGCACTGACACAGTCCATAGTGTACATTAGAGGTCACTCTTGATGTTGTCAACACACATTCTATGGCCCTAGTGGATACAGCATCAGCCTGAGGACCAAAGTGTCCTGAGTTTGATTCCAATCAAGGGCATGTACCTTGGTTGAAGGCTACTCCCTGGTCAGGGCTCATGCAGTAGGCAATCAATCAATGTGTTTCTCTCAAATTGATGTTTCTCTCTGTTTTTCCTTCTCTCTTTCCCTCTCCCTAAAAATCAATGGAAAAATATCCTCAGGTGAGGCTTAACAGGTAAGGTCTCTAGGCCTGGTGGGCAATCAGGGCTGATCTGTGGGGCAACCAGTGGGGTGATTGGAGTGGGGGGCCACTGGCACCTGCTTTGGCTGGCCTGGTGCTGCCTACTCGCCAGCCCCACCCCCCTCCACCATCAGTCGCCTACCTCTACATGGCAACTGGCAGAGCGATAGGTGAAGGGGGGGAGGAGAGGGCATATCCTGGCACTTACCTTGGCTGGCCTGGGGCCTGGGGTCTACGGCTGGGGAAAGCTCCTGCATTGGGCATCTGCCCCCTAGTGGTCATAGTGACTAGTTGTTCTGCTGGTCATTCAGCTATTTGTTGATTTGCATGTTAATCTTTTATTATTATACTAAAGGCCCAATGAACAAAATTCGTGCACTGGAGTGGGTGTCCCTCAGCCCAGCCTGAACCCTCTTCAATCCTGGACCCCTTGAGGGCAGTAGGACATTTCTCTCACAATATGGGACTGCTGGCTCCCAACTGCTCGCCTGCCTGTCTTCCTGACTGCCCTTAACCACTTCTGCCTGCCAACCTGATCATCCCCTAACTATACCCCTGCCAGCCTGATCAACACCTAACTGCTCCCCTGCCAGCCCAATCACCCCCAACTGCCCTCCCCGGCTGGCCCAATTGTCCGCAACTGCCCTCCCCTGCTGGTCTGGTTGCCCCTAACTGCCCTCCCTGCTGGCCTGGTAGCCCTCAACTGCCTCCCTCTGCCAGCCTACTTACCCCTAACTGCACCCACACCAGCGTGGTCACACCCAACAGCCCCCATGCTAGCCTGGTCACACCCAACTGCCCCCTCCCACCGACCTGGTCACCCCCACAAGTCCCCCCTGCTGGCCTTGTCACCCCAGGCAGCCTGCTGGTCATTACTGTTACTGTGACAGTATCCTAGATAATTTGCATATTCCTCTATTATTGTATATTATTAGGTCTATATTCCACCATTATAGACCATACAGAATAGTTTCACCGCCTTAAACATCCTCTGTGATCTACATATCTATCCCTTGCTCACTGCTAACCCCTGGTAACCATTGCACTGATCTTTTGACTATTTCTGTAATTTTGCCTTCTCCAGAATGCCAAACAGTTGGAATCAGACAGTTGAAGCATTTTTCAAATTGGTTTCATTCACTTCCTAATAGGCATTTAAGTTTCCTCCATATCTTTTCTTGGCTTGACAGCTCAAATAGCCTTTCATTGTACTACTCATCTTGAACATTGGAATGGAAACTAGAGAGACCTTGGACTCTAACATTACCTATGGCACCCACCAGCTCCATTCACAAGAGATTGATGAAAACCAGAGTCCTTTTCCTCTTCTCTTCCCCAAAAAAGTGCCCCAAAAAAGCGATGGCCTGCTGGCTTTCTGTGTGAGGGATGAGAGGTGGGATCAGGTGAATAAAACAGCTCAACTCTGGATTTCTTTTCACTGATGGTTGTGACCTTCCCTCGGGGCCCCACAGGGAGCTCAAAAAGGCTCATGCAGCAGAGCTCAGTGAGTTGGAGAACAACTACAAAGCAGCCTTAAAGGAAGAGAAGTTGGCTTCCCAAGAAAAACTAGGTACGTTCAGGACCCAGAAGAATGACTATGATGAAGGGGTGGGAGGCTGACCATTTAGGTCTAGGGCTGAGAGATTCTCATGGCCATGATGGGCTTTAGCTAGACTTTCAAGGTTTTCTCTTAAGCTCAGGAAGAGGGAATGATTGAGAATAAAACTGAAAATAGGGAATCCATGTCTACCAATGTCCTTCTGACCCTTTGTATCAAGTCTTAGTTTCCCCATCTGGGAATTGAAGATAGTAATATTGGCCTTTATCAGTGTGATAAAAATGAGAAAGCACTTTTTAAAAATATACTTAGCCAAAACCGGTTTAGCTCAATGGATAGAGCGTCGGCTTGGGGACTGAAGGGACCCGGGTTCGATTCCGGTCAAGGGCATGTACCTTGGTTGCGGGCATATCCCCAGTAGGGAGTGTGCAAGAGGCAACTGATTGATGACTCTCTCTCATCGATGTTTCTAACTCTTTATCTCTCTCCCTTTCTCTCTGTACAAAATCAATAAAATATATTTAAAAAATAAAATAAAATAAAAAATATATATACTTAAAGTTCTGCAAATATAATACTATTCTAATTCAGGAAGTTTCCTCACCAGAAAAATGATGGTGTCATTAAATTCTAACTGACACACTGTGATTTGTGTGGCCTCATAATCCATTGGCCATTTATTCCATTGTTTATGCTGTTCTTGAGAAGAGGAAGTGTGTCTTCTTCAGAATTCTGAGTTCATAGGCTAATGTTCACAGAGAGGAGAAATTCTATAACCCCTTTTTTCCTTCCATTGCCTTTCTTTTTTTAAGGTGGTATTTATACCTTGCTGATTTCCCAGATTTTTTTTAAGAGAACATGTATGTTTTCAAAATCAATGTACACTAGGAAGTGTGATTTTAAAAAGAGAGAGGCAGGTGCATGCTACAAGATTTTGCTTCTCTTCTTCCAAAGACTCAGGTTTATCCTGGGACTTATTTCTTAGACTTGGTGTCCATTAGAATCGCCTGAGAAGCATATTATTGACAGATACTGGGGCTCTCCTCTGAGAGCTCAATTCAGTAGGGTTGGGGTGGGGTTCCAGCATCCTATGTTTCTAATAAGCCTCCAGAGAGGTTTCTGGGGTACACCTTGGTTTTACCACTAAGGGGATGAGTTTGATATGGGAAAGGTGTGCCAGAGAGCTCACATTTGAATTTGAAAGTGTGCATTTCAGAGCAATAATGCTTATCCTGTTGTTTTCCTTTTGTCCAGAGGAGATGGGAAAGGAATACAAGTATTTGAAGAATATGTTTTATATGTATCAGGTGAGATCCAGAGCTCTTTGTTGGATTATGAGAGTAAGGAGTAAGAGAAGCAAGACACATTCTCTTGCTTGATGATGATGGGATGAATCTAGAGCTCTGACCCAGAAAATAATTCCACCAGCTCCCCAGCATCCTTGCACCCCAGTGGCACATACTGACTGCGCCCAGGGAGGAGAATGCACCTTTCGACTATGATGGCTCCCGTGCATGACAAGTCAGTCACCCAGGCCCTAAAGAAGCCCATAGAAAAATAGGTTTGTGGTTACAAAAGTAATACCTGCTCAGTGTTATGTTATTTTATTTTTAGTGGTTTTTTTTTTTTTAAAGGAAATACGTAGACCAACAGCAGCAACAAAAAGAAAAACTGCCACTACCCCAAGACAACGACTGTTAATATTTGTACTTTGTGACATCTTTAATTTTAATAGAGTTCTGGATCAAAAGGAATAACCGTTGTAAAGGTCTTCAATATATTTGGCCAAATTTCCAACCAGAAAGACTGTATCACTCTGCACTACTCCTCTAGCAGAACATGGAAGTGTTCTAGCATCTCAGGACATAACCCATTCATTTAATCAATTAATTTGATGGAGGCCAAGGAACAGAGTTAGGGCAGGATTTCTTCCTAGGGGATGAGAGAGTGGAAGTATGGAATGGATAGGGAAGTGCTGAGGCAGCAAGTCCCCATCCTGTGGTGACCAACTAATTCCATTTTGCCTGGGACTTCTGGGTTTTAGCATCGAAAGTCTTCCAGGAATTCCAGGCAAACAAGGGTAGTTGATCATCCTATCAAATGGGGAAATCAAGTAACATACCAGCACCACCTCTGAAATTCAATTTACCACTCATAGTTTCAGTTTTGAACTAGAATCCAAAACTCATTTTTCAAGATGTACCTTCATACAGTCAGGGAAGCGCCATAGACCAGAGAAGCATCAGGTTGATGAGCAGGTAAGCTGCCCAGTTCTTTTGGATACTTGGTATTTGCTTCAGTCTGGGCCTCTCCAGAGTGTGGCCTCTCTGGAAATAGCTGCCCACCGGCCTTGAAAATGATGAGAGAACCTCTGTTTAAATGGCCACAAACAATTACAAACGAGCTCTGATGCCCAGGCCCAATATAAATTCCGTTGCTAACCTCACAAGGAGGGCAGTCAGGACTGGTGGCATCCGGGCCCTGGTTCCCCCGACTTGTAAGGCCCCCCTGTCATGAAGTGGTTAGGCTTATTTAACGTTAACCACAAAGGAAGTTAGGTTTGCTGAGGGAAATGATTACTGAAAAACATCTTGTTTTCTAAGTGTTCACTATTAGGCATTTCTTTTGTTTCTTCATGTGCTCTTCATGAGTAAGTAATGAGTCAGAGGGAGTTGACGACATGGGAGCACTACCTGTCTTTAAACTCTGCAAACACTGTGCAGAACCAGGCTTTTGAGCTTCAGTTGCACTCAAGGTGGCTGGGCTGGAATTTACTTTCTTCAGTCACCCATATAGAGCTCCCCACCCCAGCAAGGGTCCCAGGTGAGGGAAGCTGACAGGGCCCGGCGCTGGGCCTTGGGCCAGTGTGCAGCCTTTCTCAGGGCCCTTTGCTTCTGTTGCCGTTGTGCCTCCACAGGACAGCCTTTATGATGAAATGGAAGATAAGTGGACAAAGAAGGCGGCAGAATGGGAGAAGAATGAGAAGTTGGAACGGGAAAAGATCCTGCTACAGCAAAGTGAGTACAGAAACTTCTGATGTCTTGATGAAAAACCTCCATGAAGCTTGGTCTCGACTCAAGAAAGGCAGCCTTGGATTCACCGAGGTGATGAGCCACATGGCTAGACTCCCAAATGGAAGGTGTCTGGAGTTTGCAAGAAAGTGACAGGAAGGAGTCTTTTATGAAGTTCAGCCACCTGAGATTCCTACACCTTCTAACACTCACTGATTCCAAGTTTGGCCATCATGGGCTGGAATAAGCTTTGGGACATCTGTAAGAATGTGGATTTGTTATCTAATTACAGGTGACTCCGAAGTTCCAGGAAAAAAGTTCTTAAATTAGGTTTCAAATATTCAGATGTTGGAGGAGGGGCAACACAATCCATTGTACTGGATTGTACTCTATATTCCCACATCCTCCCCAAGTAAGCATTGTTTGATACATATATAGAGATATTGATATATATATATAACATTGTATAAGCTTAAAGTATATATCATTGATTTAATACATTTATATATTTCTATATATTTTTTAATATTTTTATTGATTCCAGAGAGAAGGGAGAGACAGTTAGAAATATCAGTGATGAGAGAGAATCATCAATTAGCTGCCACCTGCATGCCCCCCATTGGGGACCAAGTGTGGCCAGTGTGGCTTTCGATTCAAAGGCTTGGAGAAAGTTGATGCACAAATTGACACACAAGACAAGAAATACTAATTTGATTATGGGTGGAAGCCAGGGAAAAGCTCACTGTAGTAGTTAAGTTCCACTGTGTCTCTGTTCCCAGCTTCTTTTATTTACTAGAGAATACACAATTGCCTTTTGGGAATGCAAACAGACATACCAATGGTAATGTTCAGTAAACAGATTATCATGTTGGGGGAGTTTGCTTTAGGCCAGTGGTCAGCAAACTCATTAGTCAACAGAGCCAAATATCAACAGTACAATGATTGAAATGTCTTTTGAGAGCCAGATTTTTTAAAACTTTCTAATGCCACTTCTTCAAAACAGACTCGCCCAGGCCGTGGTATTTTGTGGGAGAGCCACACTAAAGGGGCCAAAGAGCTGCTCGAGAACCACAGTTTGCTGACCACTACTTTAGGCCATTGAGTCAGCAGTAGGTAATAAAATGTAAATATTCACCCTGTGGATATCAAAGGGAGTCTAAACTCAGCCTTCTGGTAGACTCCTCGCATTTATATTAATTACTGTTGATCTTGGTTTCCAGCAATCAAGCTTTCAACCCAGGCACATGCCCTGACCAGGAATTAAACTATGACCTCCTGGTTCATAGGTCAACATTCAACCGCTGATCCATACCAGCTGGACTTGCTATATATTTTTAATATTTCCAATACTTATCTCAGAGTTTGGATCATACATAGGTGAGCCTTCTACACGCCCCCCTCCCCAAGCATCTTCATAAATAGAAAAAGGAGAGAAGAATTTATAAAGATTCTATTCCCTGACCTAGAAGACTAGTTGAGTTAGGGGTGCAGCCTCTACAAACCTATTTCACATCCTACTCCAACCTAATTCATATCAAATTTAGTTGATTTAACAAATTACTCACTTCAATGCAGATACTTCTGGGAAAGTTAATTTTTAAGGCCATTTCTGCCATGGTGGGGACACTGGACTGCTAGAAGGTAGCATGAAGACCCTGGAGTTAGACTGGGAAGGGAACGTGGAGCTGCTCCTGCTGGAAGCTTTGCTTAGAATCTTGGTGTGGCATAGCCCGGTCAACTCCCAAATTTCTAGCTACTCATACTACACTCATCTCTTGTTGTCAAAGTCTAAGATGTTACAACTGGTTCTTGGAGACCAGTGTAGCTGAATCTAGACTTACCCTGTGAGCCCGGGAGTTGCCTCCTTATCCATTCAGTATTGTGATGCTAAAGAAGAAATTTGTTAGCCCATCACCCCTTCTTCCTTCTGTTCAATATTGATTGGATCTCTCCTGGCAGTTTCCCTGCCCCCTCCCCGCCCCCACCCCCCCCAAAAAAACCCCTACACACAATAAAAACATTTAAGCCTATCTCTACACCAAGGCTAAGTACAAAACGTCTTATATTGCTGGAAAAGTCATGTTAGCCAAGAGCTATATTTTAAGACTAGACGCCTGGTGCATAAAATTCATGCACTTGGGGGAGGGAGGAGTCCCTCAGCCTGGCCTATGAGAAGCAGGCCTAAGCCGCCAGTTGGACATCCTTAGTGCTGCTACAGAGATAGAAGAGGCTCCTGTCACCTCCCTGAGCTCACCAGCCATGAGCCAGGCTCAGGGCTTCTGGCTGAGCAGTGCTCCCTCCCTTCCCTCCCCCGCCCCGCCGCCCCAAGGGAGCACACTGACCACCAGGGTTAGCTGCTGCATTGAGCATCTGCCTCCGGTGAGAAGTGCACATCATAATGACCTGTCCATCTGCCATTCAGTCGATTTGCATGTTAGCCTTTTGTTATATAGGATAAGGATATTCACGAAAGCACAGTGGTTGCTTTAGCCGAGAGAACAAACAAAACAATAAGCAACGGATCTAAAATAAATTACATGAAGAGTACAGGAAACATTAGAGGTAACCCTGCAGGGCTGATGTGATTGAGAGCCACCACCCTATTGACCTCACTCTCAAGCTTCTTCAGGCGTGTGTGTCAGAGGCTGAACACCAGGATGAAAGCACCTTGGGCTTGACCCAGGCTGGACTTTATATTATCTACTTATATTCTGGTTATCTCCCTGCACCTGTCTTTTCCCCAGGTTTACACCTTCTATAAGTGGTTTCCTCTCATTTCCACAGAAAATAAGATGACAAAAAAGTTTGAGTTAGAGACGGAAGAAGAAAAGAAAAAATTAAGTGACTCCTACAGTGTTATCCTTGAGAACTTCACTCGAGAGAAGGAGGTGAGTCAGCCCACAGCACATCGTTGGTGGAATGTGCAGTCTTGAAGGGACATCCGGTTTCCAGGGATGCCCTGATAATTAGACCAGCTTCCATCTTCCTGGGAATATTTCTCCTTCCCAAGCTTCCCTGGGACATATGCAAGAAGACAGACAGTTTTGCTGTTCTTTATTTAGATAGCTACAACACAGAGTTATTGGAATGAAACTTGTAATTAACAAGAAATAAAGAATGTGAAACATGCAGAAGCTAAAATTCCCTATTTTGCCAAAACCTAGTCTCTGAATATCTTTCTCACTCTTGACTATGGCTGAAGCGAAAGGGTATTGTTGCAAATTAAACTAAGCAAATGTGGTCATAAGTAAATAAGGATAGCAACTAAAAGTTAGAGATTATGAGGGTTAGCAGCTCCTGAAAGTCACTTCCCTACAACCTTGACATTAATACCAGGTTAGAATGAAAGCAGGTCTCAGACAAAATTCTACCAAACACGTGGACATTTACTAAACAAACAGGCATTAGCCAGCAAGTCCAGGCAGTTATACCACCAGTTCTCTGAGTTTTGGGGTGCATGAAAGAGTCAGCATAGGTATTTGCCATGCTGTAGCGGAAGTAGGCTTCTATAAGCCTTCTGTAACCCTGCAGTCAGCATCAGGCAACCAGAGCTCCTCCTACACAGGACACAGTTCACTGGGGGTCCAGCCTAAGACCCCATCCCTAAGTGCACATGCTACAGGCTTTGTTAGATTTTTGTACCATTTCATACAAAGTGCAGAGAATCTCTAATATTCCATTTTTAAGAGCCCATTTCTAACCATCATGTTCATTGAAAAGCCACTAATTTCACCAATAAAACCCCATGTATGCCGAAACTGGTTTGGCTCAGTGGTGGAGCGTCGGTCTGCGGACTGGGGGGTCCCGGGTTCGATTCCGGTCGAGGGCATGTGCATTGGTTGTGGGCACATCCCCGGTGGGGGGTGTGCAAAAGGCAGCTGGTCGATGTTTCTTTCTCATTGACGTTTCTGGCTCTCTATCTCTCTCCCTTCCTCTCTGTAAAAAAATCAATAAAATATATATTTTTTTAAAAAATAAAAAAATAAAAGCCCATGTATGACATTCATTATATTATTGAGCAAAACAATAATGAGGAATGGGGCATGCTCTGAAATAATGCTTCTGGGGTATGGAGAGCTCATATTTTTTAAATAAGAAATAGTGGTAGTTCCTCTTAGTGGGGTGAGATTTGATCATCTTCATGTATTTCTTCTTCCTCCAATGACACTGATTATAAACCTATAATCCTGGGCTTTTCTTGTTGCTCTTTTTTCTAACTCTTTGTCCAATCTCTCTCTCTCTCTCTCTCTCTCTCTCTCTCTCTCTCTCTCTCTCTCTCTCTCTCTCTTGTATGTAATTTACATTTAGCAAAATGCAAAGATATTAAATATACAGTATGATGAGTTTGGAGAAATGTATATATATCCATGTAACCAACACCCAAATCAAGATCTAGAACATTTCATCAACCCAGAAAGCACTTTAGTGTTCCTTTCCAGTAATCCCTCCTTCCCGCAAGATTTGTTTTTTTTTTCTTTTATGGTTACACCTTTTTTGTGTCTCCTTTATGAAATTGTTGACTATTCCAAGAACATTAAGATATCTTTTTTTATATATAAATGCTTTATAATTTTAGCTTTCATGATTCTGTGATCCATTTTGAATAATTTTTGTGTATGAGATAGAAGTCATAGTTCTATTTATCCCCTCATGGATATCCAGTTGTTCCAGAATGATTTGCTTTTTTAAAAAAAACTTTTCTTCCTCCATTGTGTTGCCTTAGTGTATTTGTCATATCTGGAAAGTGGAGGCAGTGGACTCTCCACTCTTTTCCATTCAACTATTTGCCTTTATTTCAGCCAACAGCACATTATCTTAATTACTGTAGCTGGAAATCAATAAGTAAAAATCCAACTTTGCTCTTGTTACTCAAAATTATTTTGGCTTTCTGTATCCTCTATATTTCTATATAAGTTTTAGAATTATCTTGTTAAGAAAACCTGCTGGTATTTTGACTGGAATTGCATTGAGTATAAAGTTCAATTTGTGGGGAACTGCATAGTTAACAGTATTAAACCTGGATGCTAACCAGAAAAGCCTTTGAAGAGAATGTTTCTTTTACTATTTGTCAATGCGCTATGGTTTAACCTGAGTGAGATTTTCATTATTTAACTTCAACATGTGACGCCATTAGTTTATAATGTGTGCTTCATGAAACCAATATGTAAAGTTTGGAACTATTACATTATATTTCTGAATCCTATTTTGGTTTTCCTAGTTTTTTGTTTTTTTGTTTTGTTTGTTTTTTTAAGAAGTGTCAGAACCACATTGCTGAACTTTTTCAAATAAAATTACTTTTAGGAGCTCTTGATACAACATGAAAACAACACCTCGCAATTACAGGAGCTAAAAAAGGCCAAAGAGGTAAGCTTTCTCATTTTTTTTTCCTGTTGCACCTTACAAATACATCAGTAAACAAAACATCCAGAATCTATGGGACACAGCAAAAGCAGTCTTGAGAGGGAAGTTCATAGTTCTACAAGCCTACTGCAAAAAAACAAGAAAAAATTGTAATAAATTATCTAACTCTACCACTCAAAGAGTTAGAAAAAAGAGCAACAAGAAAAGCCCAGTGTTTTCAGAAGGAAGGAAATAATAAAAATCAGAGCGGAGATAAATGACATACACTGTTTCCCCGAAAATAAGACAGTGTCCTATATTAATTTTTGTTCCCAAAGATGCGCTAGGTCTTATTTTCAGGGGATGTCTTATTTTTTCATGAAGAAGAATATGGTACACATTTATTGTTAAATGAAAATAAAGGAAATTTATTACCTGTATATGGTACGGTAGTATGGTAGTTGTCCACACAAACCAGACAAACTGTGAATCCTACAGTATCAAGAATTTACTCATTTATTCAATGACAATCATGTTGTCATCTTCTGGAACATCATCATAACAATCTAACTCCTGAGTTTCCTGGTGAATTTCTTGTGACTCCATTTCTTTCAGAATCAGTGGACCAAATCTCTCATGTTTAGCAATAGCACTGTCTTTAAATGAGTACTTCTTGTCAAGGTAGCCTGCTCGCAGTGAATTTGCAATGCAACTGTCAGTGATTTTCTCTCATGAATTCTTCACCCAAGTCACAACTTCTTGCAGTTTAGGATTTACAAAGTTTTCACGCTGATTTCTCTCCATTTTATTTTCAATGTAGTCATTAATTTCCATGTGCAAATTGTCTTTGAATGGCTTGCTTATTGCAATATCAAGAGTCTGGAGATAGGCCATCATTCCTGCGGGAATCATTATCTGATCTATTTTTCTTTCATGAAGAAATGTCTTCATGTCTTTAGTGCGGTTAGTGCTGGCTGCATCCCAGACTAGCAGACCTCTTTGGCTCCCTCGCATAACAAGCAACGGCATTAAATTGACCCACTTCCTTATAACTGCTTGTGTGGCCCAGGCTTTTTCAGTTTCAAGAATAAAAATGAACAAAACACGTTCAATCTTTTCCTTCTTACCCTTAGAAATAATTAAGTTGAAATACAAAGGATTGTTACAAAATACTAAGAACAACTCTACTCCAACAAGCTTGACAACCTGGAGGGAATGGACATATTCCTAGAAAAATATAACCTTCCAAAATTCAATCAGGAAGAATCTAAAATTTCAATAGGCCAGTAACTTTGGAAAAAAATTGAAGCAGTCATCAAAAAGCTTCCAGCAAACAAAAGCCCGGGGCCAGATGGCTTTACAGGAGAGTTTTACCAAACATTCAAGGAAGAACTAAACCCTATCTCCCTCAAACTATTCCAAAAAATTCAAGAGGAGGGAACACTTCCAAGCTCCTTCTATGAAGCCAGCATCACCCTAATACTAAAACCAGATAAAGACAACACAATGAAAGAAAATTACAGGCCAATATCCCTCTTGAACATAGATGCCAAAATCCTCAACAACATTCTAGCAAATCAGCTCCAGCAGCACATCAAAAAGATCATACACCATGACCAAGTAGGATTTATTCCGCAAATCAATAAACGTGATACATCACATAAACAAATTGAAAGATAAAAATTATATAGTCATATCAATAGCTGTAGAAAAAGCATTTGATAAAATCCAACACCCTTTTCTGATAAAAACTTTCAACAAGGTGGGAATATAAGGATCATACCTCAACATAATAAAAGCTATATATGATAAACCCACAGCCAACATTATACTCAATGGGCAAAAACTAAAACCATTTCCTCTAAGGACAGGAACAAGACAGGGATGCCCACTCTCACCACTCCTGTTTGACATAGTACTGGAAGTACTAGCCATTGCAATTAGATAAGAAGAGGAAATAAAAGGCATCCAAATTGGAAAAGAAGAAGTAAAATTGTCCTTATTTGCAGATGACATGATATTGCACATAAAAAACCCAAAAGACTCCATCAAAAAACTAATAGACTTGATAAATGAATTCGGCAATGTAGCATGATACAAAATTAACACCAAGAAATCTATGGCATTTCTATACACCAATAATGTACTTACAGAAACAGAGACTAAAAAAGCAATCCCATTTACCATTGCACAAAAAAACAAACAAAACAAAAAAAAAACTAAGATACCTAGGAATAAACTTAACTAAGGAGATAAAAGACCTATATGCAGAAAACTACACGATACTAAAAAAAAGAGATAGAGGAAGATGTAAACAGATGGAAGAACATACCATGTTCATGGATTGGTAGAATCAACATCATCAAAATGTCCATACTTCCCAAAGCAATTTATAGGTTCAATGTACTCCCCATTAAAATACCAACATACCTAGAAAGAATTCTTAAAAAATTCATCTGGAACAAAAAAAGACCCCAAATAGCCACAGCAATCCTGAGAAAGAAGAACAAAGTAGGAGGGATCTCAATACCAGATTTCAAGCTGTATTACAAAGCCACTGTTTTCAAAACAGCCTGGTACTGGCACAAGAACAGACATATAAATCAATGGAATAGCATGGAGAATCCGAATATTGACCCAAACCTCTATACTCAATTAATATTTGACAAAGGAGGCATGAACATACAATGGAGACAAGACAGTCTCTTTAATAAATGTTTTTTGGAAAACTGGACAGATACATGCAAAAAAATGAAACTAGATCACCAACTTACACCATACACAAAAATAAACTCAAAATGGATACAGGATTTAAATATAAGACAGAAAACCATAAAAATACTAGCGGCAACCACAGGGAGCAAAATCTCAGGCATATGTGGAAAGAACTTCTTCACTGATACTGCTCCTAGGGCAATGGAAGCTAAAGAGAAAATAAACAAATGAGACTACATCAAAATAAAAAGCCTTTTTACAGCAAAAGAAACCATCAACAAAACAACAAGAAAGCCCACTGTGTGGGAGAACATATTTGCAAATGTTATCACTGATAAAGGGTTAATATCCAACATCTACAGACAACTTATACAACTAAATAAAAGGAAGATAAATGATCCAATTAAAAAATAGGCAATGGACCTAAATAGAATATTTTCAAAAGAAGACAGGAGGAAGGCCAAGAGGCATATGAAAACATGCTCAAAGTCACTAATTATCCGGGAGATGCAAATCAAAACAACAATGTGATACCATCTCACACCTGTCAGAATGGCTAACATCAACAAGTCAACAAACAACAAGTGCTGGCGAGGATGCGGAAAAAAAAGAACCCTTGTGCACTGCTGGTGGGAATGCAGACTGGTGCAGCCACTATGGAGAACAGTGTGGATTTTTTTTTAAGAACGGTTAAGTTTTCAGAAAAATTAAGCAGAAAGTACAGAGATTTCACATGCATTCCCCATCCCCACACAACTTTCTCTATTATTGATACCTTGCATTGGTGTGTTACATTTGTTACAGCTGATAAACTGTTAATATATTATTTTTAATTAAGGTTCATAGTTTACATTAGGGTTCATTATTTGTGTTGTACATTCTATTGGTTTTGTCAATAATGCTATATAGTCACCATTGTAGCATCATACAAAATCGTTTCTCTAACCTAAAGATCTTCTGTTCTCCAAGTATATGTCCTTCCCTTTCCCTCCCAACCCTTATCAATCACTGATCTTTTTACTAACTATAGTTTTGCCTTTTCCAGAATGTCATATAGTTGGGATCTATCATAGACATTTCATAAATACTTGTTTAATAGATGAATAATTGCTAGCAGTTGTGACAACCCATTTAAGCTCTGGTGAGGACTGGCACTGGGGCAGTGATAGTAAGATTGTAGGGGAGGGTGTAGATGGGGAAGACAAAAGGAGGGGGTAGGGTTAACAGGGCATAGTGATTAAATGGTGCAGGAGGAGGGAAGTCGATGCTGAACATTCTAGTCCAGGTACCTAGAGAAGAGAATAAATGGGCAGACATCCAAAACAGTTTCCTCTTACACAGGTCATAGAGGAAGAGTTGCATGCACAAGCTGTTATCCTAGAATCACTGAACACCACCCTCTACCAAACCCAGATGGAACTCCAGAAGGAGGTGAGTCCTGGCTGGAGTGGGGATGGGCATTTGGGGGAGGATCCCAGATCTTGGTGTAGCTCGGCCATACAGCTCTGGTTGGGAAAAGATAGCTATTAAAATGCACATGTCTTTCAGAAATCTGCGGTGGCAAGTCTGGAGAAAACATTCCAGTCCAAGCTTGCTGAAGCTGAAGAGAAGTTTAAATTCACTATACAGCTCCTGAGAGAAGAAAACATTCATTTGAGGTGTGAAAAGGGTGCAAAAACATGGCTGACTTATCTTTAGGAAGGGTAGGGGATTGGGTGAGGAATAGGTGAAGATGATCACAGGTGTTTCCTAAAGAAGCCAAGGCTCAGGCACTTTCAGGAGGAAGATATTCACTGTAAGCCTGGTCAGAGAATTTACCTGCTGTGACCAAACAGTTCATTTGATAGTTACTATATCTTTTTTCAGGCTGTTGAGCATTTTACCCTCATTACTATGAATTCTTGTTTCAGATAAATTTCTTAGCTCTGCTTCATTTATCTCTTCTTCTGGAGAATTTTTTAGCTCTTTCATTTGGGAATTGTTCCTTTGTCTCCTAATTTTGGCTGTCTGTTTTGGGTTTGTGACTATGTTTAAGTAGATCCTCTACCCTTCTCAATCTCTAGTACAGGACAATGTTAAAGGCTGTTTCTGACTCATTGGATCAGGCAGACTCAAAGCCTCCAGAGACTGCCTCTGTCCACGGACTAATAGGATTCTGGCTTGAATTACACTCTCCCCACCGCCCCCCCCCCCCCAAAAAAAAACCAAACAGTTTGTTTGAAATGATGCTGTGTCTTAGTTTTTAGGCAAAATGACACATGGTATTTATCTGAGACTGTTTAAGTGCATTCAGGATTTTAAAAACTAAAGATTATTTTTAAATCCAACTCCCCTGAGAGTTTAGGGATGTAGATGTTAGTAGTTTACCTTTAGATGTGGCTACATTGTGTTCCTGTGGAGATCAACTTTAGGTCATAAACTAAACTGCAACCTGAAGATACATCTTAAATTATTGAAATAAATGTCACTCAATACTTTAATAAAGGGAACTTATTTATTATGTTGATTTAGTAGAAAATTCCTTACATGGGCATTTGGTCACCCACATATCCTATCTCACTAAATTTAAAACTATTGAGAGAGATTGCTCCCAGTGAAAGAATGAAACCACACTCTCTCTCCCCAGATATCCTACCCCACTTTCTACTCTTTGAGTCTATAGTGATACATTTTCTCTTTCTTTATAGGCAAAAGATAAATGCCAAGAATGGAGGAACTTATGAAGAAAGATCTAGAAGGTCAGCCTGTATTACTATTTATGAGGATGATTCTGAGACTTCAGAAGATGGTAGCAAGAAAAGACATGAATTATGAGCAGAAAGGTTATTCTCCATCATCTGAGTTGGTAGGAATACCATCTCTGTAAGCCTAGAGCACTCCTGTGAAGTTTTTTTTTTGAGAAATGCATATGATGGGTTCTTGATTCTACTTTCATCTTTTCACAATTTGCTTTCTTCTGAGTGGTTGGTAATGTTTGAATTCTTATCTCAATTACATAGATTTTATTTTTTCATGACTTTTCATTGAGAAGTGTTGTGCTCTGTAGCTAGAGCTGAGCTTTCTCTGGGTGTACTATTTTCTCTTCCACCTTTACATATTTTATTATGAAGACACTGATCTGAAAATTTTCTTCCTATAAAATGTTAACTATATTTGGACTATACCTGGGCATTTAGCTAGCAAGAAAAAAATTATTGGTTTGATTTCAAAACTCTTTCTTTTTCATATGTGTCCCCACTCTCACCTCTTAATCACATTTCCCTAACCTGTGATTTAGGAAAAGTTCTGATAATTCTTGCCAGATTCTCTAAACCAGTGTTTCCCAAACTTCTCTCAAGATGAGAATCACCTGGTGGAGTCGTTAAACTACAGATTCCTGAATCCCAACTAAGAAGTGCTAAACTAGAATTTTGGGGAACATATAGGTAAAATTGTATACTTTTGTGTACTTTTGTATATTTAACTAGTGCTCTAAGACAGAGCACTAAGTTAAGTATACAATTGTATACTTTTGTGCTCTAAGACAGAGCACTAAGTTAAGTATACAATTCTCATCATGAGAGAAGTTTGGGAAACACTGCTCTAAACCATTGCTAGAATTCAAATGCCACAGTGCAGGCAACGTAAACAAGTGAAATGGGCTGCACATGAAGAAAAACAATCCGATCATCACAGTGATAATTGGTAATTGGCTGCAGCTTCAATAGAGGGGACTAGAGAGGGGAGACAGTGAGAGAGCCATTCCATTGCTGCCATACAGGAGCATGGAATTAATGGAATTAAATATTCTGATTTTTCTAGAGAAGGTATTCTCATTTTTATATCACATCTCTCCATTTTTAAATATGAATAACACATTTTTTTTAAAAAAAATATTGATTTCAGAGAGGAAGGGAGAAGGAAATAGAAACATCAATGATGAGAGAGAATCATTGATTGGCTGCCTCCTGCATGCCTCTTATTGGGGATCAAGCCTGCAAAGGCTTGTATCCTTGACCAACATCGAACCTTCAGTCCACAGGCCGACGCTCTATCAACTGAGCCAAACCAGCTAGGGCTGAGCAACACATTTTTTTAAAATACAACTGTGTGAGCCAACATTGGGAGGTTCAAGTAAAATGTATCTGTGATTCAAATGTTTTCCACCTGTGAGATGCCATTGGCAAAAAAATAAAACAAGCAAAGCTATCTCCTGCGAACAGTAAGGTTAAGTTATATTTTATTAGAAGTACATTTGAAAAACTAATTTAAAAACACACACACACCTAATTAGCTTTTAAAAACAAGATAATTCCTGAGTATTTCAAATGAGATTATAATTTTAAAAGCATGACTAAAGCACAGCAATGCTATCGAAAAAGCAAATGAAGCATGTATAGAAGAATGCATATACTCCAAGAGCAATAAGAGAAAAGGCTGAAAAGGGAATTTGGGAACAGATTGTAACAGATTTGTAAAACCATTTTGAGTTTTTAAAAGCTTTTAGTGCAAGAAATAATATTTTCAAATTTGTATTTTAAAGAAACCAGCAGTGCAATTCAGGGCATATTACTTTGAATGAAAATTACTTGAGGCACAGCCAGTAGGAGATGGACTCTGACCACGTTTTATCCCCCTGAAAGTCAGAAATGAATCTCCCATGTGAAAGGCACTCCTTTCGCACTCCCATCCTTGCCCCGTATGAAGAGGGTAGAAGGCACCAATATTATCAGACAGGGAATTCATGGCCAACAAGGCAGTGTCAACAAAACTTGTTATTTCTTTACTAATTGAACCCAAACTTCTTTGTTTTGTAAATTCTTCTCAAGTTTATTGTTATTTTGTCTGAAAGATATAAAATCTGCCTGATTTGGTCTTTTTTTTTTGTCTCATATTTCTATGAGCATGTATGAGAGTTAATTTTATTTTTCTATTGTTAATTTAGCTTACATCATTTTAATTAGTAGAAAAGTCAAAGAACCTGGGTGAATAAAAAGGAAAATTTTTCCTTACATATAATTGTAGTGTGGAGGATGGCTTAGAAAGAAAGTACAAAACAAAACCATTCTTTTTTTAAAAAAAAATATTTTTATTGGCTTCAGAGAGGAAGGAGAGAGAAAGAGAGAGAGAAAAACATTAATGATGAGAGAGAATCATTGATCAGCTGCCTCCTGCACACCCCCTGACCAGAATCAAACCTGAGACTCTTCAGTCAACATGCCATGCTCCATCTACGGAGCACAATTCTCAACAATTTGAAGCAGCAGTCGCCAACCTTTTGGACCTCACGGACCATCAGGGGTCCACAGACTACTAGGTGACGACCGCTGATTGGAAGGGAATTAAATGATTTGGAGTTGAAAGCAGATCAGAGATGTGTGGAGTACATTCTGCTGCTGTTTTAGAACCATTGTAATGTTGCATTTCTTTTAAACTTCCTATCCTTTGTATCTACTATAGTTTTAAAAACTCTTTTATCAAATTAAATGTACAATTAAAATCATGCTTATGGCTATTGTTGCAAAGCCAGAAATTTAGGCTTCAACTTGCCTAAAAATTAAATTGTATTGACTCCCATTCTCTCCCCTCTCTGCCTTCAAAAACTGGGGGGTGGTCCCAGGTTCAACTTGGTCGAGGGCACGTACCTTGGGGCTTACAGGAAGCAACCCATCAAAAAGGGGACAATATCCTCAGGTGAGGATTAACAACATAAAATAAATGGGGGAGAGGGAGCAGCATCTTATTAACAATTAAATTAAGCATAGTGTTATGCAAATAAATGATGAGATAAAGTAAAAGCATAATAACACAAAAATTAAGCATAGTGTTATAGATCAATCAAGGGGGAAGTAGAGCTTTTTCCTCAGAGTGAAAGTGGGTTGTGGCATCTGCTTCCCCATATTCCTCTTGTCGTCCTTACTGCTCACTTCAAAGTTTACCTCAGTGAGGATGGTGAGAATGTCATCACCCCTGTAAAACAGAACACAGCACTGTGACCACCTGTGAGGGGAAAGCACTGCTAAACCCATCCATCTGCTGTGCTTATGCTAGCTATTTCTCTCAAAACATCAGGCGAGCCCAGCTGGCGTGGCTCAGTGGTTGAGCATTGACTTATAAACCAGGAGGTCACAGTTTGGTTCCCGGTCAGAGCACATGCCTGGGCTGAGGGCTCCATCCCCAGTAGTGGGCATGCAAGAAGCAGCCAATCTTTGGTTCTCTCTTATCATTGATGCTTCTATCTCTCTCCTCCCTCTCCCTTCCTCTCTGAAATTAATTTAAAAAAAAAAAAGAATATTTAAAAAGAAACATCAAGCAGATGAAATAATAAGTTGCTAAACCAAGACCTTTCAGGTAAAGGATGTTTCAGAGCTTAATAACTTATCTCAGGATCTCTGTAGATCATCAGAAACCTCAGTGTTAACATGAGATTTGGTTTCTTCCCCTCCCAATCTGTTTGTACCTCACTCTACTCCAGGTTCTATGTTACTTGCCCCCATCATCTCCTCAATCCCTAACATCCTCTGCCCCAAATTGACATTGCTTCTGTGGACTCATCCATGATGAATCAAACCTATGGGAAGTGAAAAATCCAGTGTCTCCGGCAGCCAGCCACCCTTCTGACCAGCCTCGCTATCCAGTTTAATTGGGCAACCTGTTCATGCACCTCTGCAAATAGCCCGCCCCCAACCCCACCCGAACCTTGCAGGATTCATGGTCTGAATCGCAAAATGCAAATATAGTGTTGATGTTATGGTTCACTCCTTTATCCACCATAGAAAACTCTCATTCTTTATATACTTTAAACATAATAATACTGAATTAGAAAGAACCCAGCAGAAGATTCCTTGCTATCCAGCTGTCCATTGTGTGTGCATTTGGGTGAACTGTGACATACAAAACTTCATATAACTAAAAGAATTGTGGGATATTTAAATGAGGAAAGGCGATTTTCCTACATTTTGTGGGTTTAAGTCAGGCCACATGAGTACAACAATAAAGGGTTTCTGCTCTTCCACATTTCTCTCTCACAATATACCAAGAAGGTTTGAGGCCGGTTAGCTATTATGGAACTTTTGATGAGCTGGAGGATAGTACACATTGAAATGGGTCATTGTCTTTTTGGATGACTTCTTAGATGTTTTCTAGTGAAGGTGGCACGGTCATAATTCTGCCCCAATACAGAGCTAAACTTTATGACTTCACCATCCTTCCCAGCTATCTGACACCCTGCCTGTCCTTTGAGGTGCTAAAAAAGCGGAAGTCCTCAGTAAGTATCACTGTTTTTTCTATCTGTGACTAAAGATGTTAAGACTTGTCCTCTCTCCCACTTTGCAACCGACAAGGAAAGTACAGCTATGAGGCCCACAGCTGGACATGTATAGGTGAATGAAGGGTTGAGTAGACAGGCATTACCTAGGACATCTTTCTCTCAGACTCTGGCACAGTGACTGGATATACCAGGACCCCTTTTCGGTGCTTCGGTAGGAAACACAGTTGTTCACAGTGGCCATCCCCAGCAGAAAGTCAGCCTCATTGGGGATATTTCTCTTCTGATATGAGTCCATTTCTAAATAAGCATCATTCTCTTCTGAGTCGGTCTCAACAGTTATGCCTTTCTGAAAGTTATCCCCTTGACAAGCCTGGATAAAAAAGATTTTTGGTTTGCCTGCAAGGGAAGGGCACTTCAAACCAGTGAAGTAAGAGGTCAGCTCATAGATGGGGGCTTCCTGCCCATCGCAGCCATAGACGATGCCCTTGTCTCCATGGGAAAGGATGCAGCAGATGAAGCAGTCTTTTTCTTTGTGGTCCTTGCTTTGGTAGCTTTTCAGGATCTCACAGATTTGCTTTGCTGTGGCGTCTTTGTAACGCACTACCTCAAAATGAAGCTCACTAAAGATGTTGTGCAAAGCCTCTGAAAAGTGAAATACAAAAAGTCATATTACACCAACAGTACCCAGACCACAGCCAGAGCTAAAGAGAGCATTGATAAGAATTTGAACCAGAACCTAAGAACAAGATCCTCTATATTAATGGCTAGATTCTAGCTGGAAAAAATTTCTCAGTCCTAAGGCAACAAAAGTAGGATACTATTGTTGGCCCAGAGCACTAAGTTAAGTATACAATTGTATACTTTTGTATACTTAACTAGTGCTCTAAGACAGAGCACTAAGTATACAATTTTACCTATATGTTCCCAAAAATTCTAGTTTAGCACTTCTTAGTTGGGATTCAGGAATCTGTATTTTAACAACTCCACCAGGTGATTCTCATCATGAGAGAAGTTTGGGAAACACTGGTCTACAAGATGAGTAAGCTGTTACTTAGGCTTACTTACCAAACCAATCTAAAAAATAATTGTATTATTTACACTAATCAGAAAACCAAAACCAAAAGGACTTTTAACAAACTATCCATACTTTATTCTGAATGCTCTCAAAACTGTAAAAATAAAATATATGAATATTTAAAAAGTCGAGCAAAACTAAAAAATTTATTTATTACAAAAAAAAAACAACTATCCTCTCTAGCTCTCCCTCTTACCTAGTCAGGTTCCATGAAGGCAACCACTTTCAAATTCTAACTCCTTTTTTTTTGTTTGTTATTATCAGCCTCCATTTTGTAATAAATTTTGGTACATTGCTATTTATTGATTGATCAATTTTAGGCTTTTGTATTGAATTACTGATATGGTGCTCTTACACAATTGTGTACAATTTTTAGTAGAATCAATAGTAATGTTTTTATTACTAGTACTATTTAAACAAATATTTAATTATGCTTCCCTTCTTTTTTTAAATTGTTGACACTATTATAGATTTCCCCCATTTCCCCCACCTGGCCTTCACCACACTGTTGTCTGTCTCTAGGGGCTATGCATATATATTCTTTGACTAATCTCTTCACCTCATCCAATTCTCCCTCCCACCTCCCCTCTGACATGTCAGTCTGTTCCGTGTATCCATCCTCTGGTTCTGTTTTGTTCATCAGTTTATTTTGTGTCCCAACATGCTCTATCTTTGAGAAGGTTCCATGTACATTTGAGAAGAATATATTCTGCTGCTTTGGGTTGAAATGTTCTGGTGTAAATATCAATTCAATCCTATTCCTGGCCCTTGGCAACCTGTTTGAGCCACAGTTTGTGGCTGCCTCTAAGGGCGAGGCAAGGCCAGCTTTTACCAGTACAGGGCTCAGAGGGGGGTCCATGAGCCTCTCCAGGCACCCAGGATCTGCCTCCACCTGCCAGCTGGCTGTTAGGCTGTCACTGAAAGAATCTCTGGCAGAATGGGGAGGTGTGATATTGTATCTCCTGTGAGGGCAGGTGCCATTCAGACTTCAGGAAAGACGGTGGGTGTGATCCCCATCGCAGAGCTACAGGCCCGTGTCTGTCCTGGTTTTTCCCTGACCTCAGCAGGGCAGAGCCCCTAGTAGTTGTGTGTGTGTGTCTGTGTGTGTGTGTGTGTGTGTGTGTGGAGGGGGGTGGGGGGGAAGTGAAGTGAGGGAAGGCGGGGCTTCTGTAGCCCAGAGATTGAGTCTGGGAAGCCAGGAGGGTGTTTCTATCAGGTCTCCTGTGAAAGGGAAGAGCCAGTCTGGTTCATGGGAAAGTAGGGAGAATGATTCCACCCTAAAGCCAGTCACTGACACCCCCTGAGTTTTCCCAGACTTCTTGGCCCCAGCCAATGCTGCTGACTCCTCAGCAGGGCTTAAGATCCACAGGGTTGGGTGAAAGGGATTCCTGAGGATGAGGTAACAGCTTTTCCCCAGGCTGATTGCTCGACCCAAGAAAGAAGGCTGCTGCGGTATCGGAGGATGACTCGGGACAGGCATCCTGCCAGTGGTTCCCATGTTTCCAAACCAACCCAAGACTCTTTTCAGCCAACTGTTCGCCCTGGCCTCCCTCCGTCAGAGCCCAGAGTGAGTGCCTGGCTGCCAACAGAATTTTGCACAATGATCCTTTAGAACAGTGTTTCCCAAAGTGTGGTACGCGTAACCCTAGGGGTACGGGAAGAGTTTGGTGGGGGTACGCATTGCACCGTGCTTAGCTGAGCCTAATTCTGTGTTCTCATGAGTACGAGGGGTACTCAGTGTTAGGAAAATTATAGAAGGGGTACACATATGTCAAAAGTTTGGGAAACACTGCAGGGTGCCTCTGTCTCCAGAGGGCTCTGCCTCTCCTTGGCAGACAGAAACCCTGCCGTTTCTCACAGCCGGATGCTATGTGAGCACCTGTTCCCCGCTCTGGTGCTCTGGTTTGGGGAGCCACACCTGGGATTTAGGCTTTATGCCCCTCAGGGGGAGCCTCTTGAAGCTGATCCTATCCCCTTTAACCTCAGCCACCCCTTCACATTCCCCCACTTCCTGCCAGCCCTTGGCTATAAGTCTCCTCTGTAGATTGTCTTTAGTTGGTAATTCAGGAGGATCACTCCCCAATTTAGTTGTCTTCCCAATTGGGATCTGGGAGGAGGTGAGAGCAAGATCCACCTACTCTGCTGCCATCTTGAAAAATCCTGTGCTTCCTTTCTTATAAAACTTTTGTCTTTCCTGGAATTAATAATTGCACTAATTTTTATTGCTTTGTTTTCTATGTGCTTAACACTACTTTTCCCTCAAATGTGTTCATAGATCTAGCCAGTCTTTCAACACTGACTAGGCTGCCTGTCTGATTTATTTTTTAATAAAAAATTGTATATATTCAAGGTGTACAATATGATGATATACACAGTGAGATGATTACAATAGACAAGCTAATAACATATCTCCACACATAGTTACAGTGAGTATGTGTATGTGTGATGAGAGCACCTGAAATACATGCCTAGCATATATATGTCTAGTATTCAATACAGCATCTTCTATCTACACTAATAAAAGAGAAAAATGCAAATTGACCATACCTTTGCTATGCCACAAGCCACACCCATCAGCCAATCAGGAGTGAGTATGCAAATTAACCAAGATGGCTGCAGCCACAGAGCAAGCAGAAGGCTTGGGTTTCACCGGCAATGGAGGAAGCCAAGCTTCCCACACACCCAGGCTGGTCCTGGCCTCCACTCAAGGCTACAAAGTTTCAATTATAGAAGATAAATAAATACCAACAAAAATGGCTGCGGCCACAGAGCAAGCAGGAGGCTTGGGTTTCCCTGGCAATGGAGGAAGCCAAGCTTCCTGGCCAGCCCTGGCCTCCACTCAAGGCTACAAAGTTTCAATTACAGAAGAAAATAATCCTAGATACCAGGGTCTCTGCTTGGGTCATCGGAGGTGTGTGGCCATCCTGCAAACCACCACAGGCCCCTCACCCAGGCCACCCCAAGGGAACCCCCACCCTGATCTGGGACACGTCAGGGATTAACAGCCAGCCCCCACCCATGCACCAGGCCTCTATCCTATCTAATAAAAGAGTAATATGCAAATTGACAGTCACCCCAACACACAAGATGGCTGCCCCCATGTGGACACAATATGGCTGCCACAAGATGGCCAGCAGAGGAGGGCAGTTGAGAGGGACCAGGCCAGCAGGGGAGGTCAGTTGGAAGGGACCAGGCCTGCAGAGGAGGGAAGTTGGGGGTGACCGGGCCTGCAGGGAAGGGCAGTTTGGGAGGGAACCAGGCCTATAAGGGAGGGCAGTTGCTTGGGGACCAGGCCTTCATGGGAGGGCAGATAAGGGTGACCAGGCCTGCAAAGGAGGGCAGTTAGGGGCAATCAGGCTGGAAGGGGAGCAGTTAGGCATCAATCAGGCTGGCAGGGGAGTGGCTAGAGGGTGATCAGGCTGGCAGGTAGAAGTGGTTAGGGGCAGTCATGAAGACAGGTAGGCAAGAAGTTGGGAGCCAGCAGTCATAGAGGGATCACTGACTGACCATTTAGGCCCAATCCCAGTAGGATCAGTCGGACATCCCTAGAGGGGTCCCAGATTGGAGAGGGTGCAGGCTGGGCTGAGGGACACACTCTCCCATGCACGAATATAAAAGACTAAGTGACTGTCCAACCTACTGACTGGCTGGATGGCTGGTAGGTATGATGCGCGCTGACCACTGGGAGGCAGATACTCAATGCAGGAGCTGCTTCCTGGTGGTCAGTGTGCTCCCTCTGCTCAGCCAGAAGCCAGACTCATGGCTGGCGAGCGCAGTGGCGGTGACAGGAGTCTCTCCCACCTCTTTGGCAGCAGTAAGAAGCAGTGAACAGGCAGGTGGTAAGGAGAAAGGGGTCCCGGACTGTGAGAGGGCGTAGGCAAGGCTGAGGGGATTCCCCCCGATCCCGAGTGCACAAATTTTGTGCACAAAGCCTCTAGTTAGAAATATTTTTTATATCTTTATTGCCGAAACCAGTTTGGCTCAATGGTTAGAGCGTCGGCCTGCGGACTCAAGGGTCCCAGGTTCGATTCCGGTCAAGGGCATGTATCTTGGTTGCGGGCACATACCCATAGGGAGTGTGCAGGAGGCAGCTGATTGATGTTTCTCTCTCATCAATGTCTCTGGCTTTCTATCCCTCTCCCTTCCTCTCTGTAAAAAAATCAATAAAATATATATATATATATTTTAAAAAGAAATATTTTATATATATTTTGGATTCTACTGTACCTTCATCATAGTCTGTTCCATCCCTATCCTTTATTTTGTGAAGTTTGGGCACCTTCTCCCGTGCTTTGCTAAAATCATAATTATTAAAGATCACACAGTATCCTCGAGGTTTGCTTTTCATTCGGTAAACTTTGTCCGCTGTCTGAAAAACAAAAACACAACCGAGGAGCTGACACTGAGGGTCAAACACTTGAGATGTTGACAAGCAACTCCCTGGTCCAAGGTTCGGCTGGCCCTTGAGCCAGAGTGGGCTCGTTCAGTGACTCCCACCCAAGCTGACATTGTTTGCCTAACACGATGGCTCCTTTCTCCTCACAGGATCCCAGACTTGCCCCACCTGCAGTGTGTCTAGTTAATGTCCCAGTAGTTGGGCCTCCTGAGCACCTTGCACTTACATTCGTATTGTCATCATAATGTATTATTTGTCCTCATCTCTGCTCAAGGCAGATGACATCTGAGTCAGGAACCAGAACTCAATCATTTGTGAGACCTCAAGCAGGAGTTGTTCAATGAATGAACATCTCAGGGCTGTCTTTGGGCTGCCCTTCCATGACTCTGTGATTTCCACGGCTGTCTGATCAACTCACCCCTGTTTTTGGGCAAACAGCTGAGGGCCTGCCCTTCACATATAACAGTGAGTCCCCAGACTGTTAGAGCTGATGGATTAATCTGGTTCTCAGGACCACAGGGACAGGGGGCGAGAGATGCACTGGGCAGGCAGATCTTGGCTATTGCAGGTCACAGTTTCCAAACTCTAGAACCTGACATTACCAGTCAGTGGTAGCCCTGGGTTGGCCTTATTTTTCCAGAGCTGTTTCAGTGCAAAGATATCCAACATTTATTGGGAAATCCATGCAGCTCCTTTCCAGTAGAGAAAGGGGTTCCCAGCTGGGGTGGGGAGGTTGGTTTGGAGGTGTGAGGGATTCTTGGCTGTATCCTATATAATAAAAGCCTAATATAATATGCTAAGTGTCCAGTTGTCTGGATGTCGGTTCAGCCAATCAAGGCGTAATATGCTAATGATATGTAAGGCCACTCAAATGCTCACTATGATGTGCACTGACCATCAGGGGGCAGACACTCCAACTGGTTAGGTTAGCTTGCTGCTGGGGTCCAGCTGATCAGGACTGAGCAAGATAAGCCGGACATGCCCTGGATCCCTCCCACGGTCCCTCTCTGGCTGGCCAACATCCCACGTCCCTCCTTGGCCCTGACATGCACTGGTGGGTCCCTCAGCCTGGCCTGCACCCTCTTACAATCCAGGACCCCTCAGGTGGGCACACTGACTCTCAGGTAGTTCCATCTGTATAATAAACGTGTAAGCACCTTTACAGTGAAACAACTGGAATGACCAGTCACTGTCAGATGTGCACTGACCACCAAGGGGCAGACACTCAATGCAGGAGCAGTCCCCTCATGGTCAGTGCACTTCCACAAGGGGGCATGCTGCTCACTCAGAAGCCAGGCTCATGGCTGGCAAGCACAGCGGTGGTGACAGGAGCCTCTCCCACCTCCTTGGCAGCGGTAAGGAATGAGCAGGCAGGAGGTAAGGAGCGAGGGGTCCCAGACTGAAAGAGGGTGCAGGCCAGGCTGAGGACCCCCCCCCCCACACACACACACACCAGTGCATGAATTTTGTGCACTAGGCCTCTAGTACTTAATAACCTTAAAACCTTGAGCAAGTTATTCAATCTCTCTTGCACCCAGGATCCTTAGCTGCTCTTGGGGCAATGCCTGTAGAGTGCTTTACTTTGCTGTGTGCTCCCTGACAAATAATCCTTGATTTTCAGACTGAAAGGGGTCCGGTAACTTGTTCAGGAGCCCACCAGTAAATTGTCCTCTAGGCTTAATTTTAAGTCTCCCGCTGGGCTCCTGGCATTCAGGGTTTCCTCTGCTCCCCGCCACAGAGAGGTGTGAGTGGGCTGTGAGTCAGAATGGGTTCGGTGGGTCGCTGAGGGTTACACACGCAGGAGTGCTTATGTCTAGAAAGGCCGTTCCTGGGCCGGCTCTCTGGGGTGAGAACACAGAGATGGCTAGATCACGCGCGTTTGCCACTTGCACCTGGTCACCAAGGAGAAACCGTTTGAGATGTCAAGTTAAAGGAAACGGCTTTGCTCTCCGCAGTCCTGCTGGGCTCTGCCTTTGGGCTGCTGCGGTTGCTGAAAGAGCCCAGCTGGGGCCTTCTCACCCCTCTGCTCCAACTGTTTCAGGGTCTTTGTCTTTGGTTTTAAAATAAACATTTAACCCGAGATAACGTTTTCTTTACGTTAAAAGGTCACACTTGAAGCTTGTCCTTCTGTGAATGTTTTCTCTAGTCTTCAAAATAGTCACCACGTTTCTTCTCCTTACTAGTTTATCGGGAAGCTACAAAAGCTAAGGAATACTCTAAGGAGGACCTGTAATGCAAAGAGAAGAAGTGGTGGGAGGTTTCCTCATACCTGTGGTGGCTCACAGTCCTGCTCCCGGGACTCACTGTCCTGCTCCCAGGGCCCACAGTTCTGCTCCCGTGGCGACTCACAGTTTTGTTCCTGGGGCTCACTCTCCTGCTCTCGAGGATAGTCTGAAATTGGCCCTCCCTCTGCAGGGAATGACACGTGGCAGAGAAGGCACCTCAGTCAAGAAACATGCAACACCTGGGATAACGTAAGTCCCTCCTAACAGGAAAATTCATATCCTTACAATCCACAGAATAAGTCCCATTCTTACCACTGAATAACTCAGCGTCTGTTTCAGGCTGGCTGGCCTGAGGCCGCATGGTTTGTGTCTCTAGACACATCTTTTAGTGGGTAGAGCAGAGGTGACAAGAAGTAGCCACCAAGCCCTTGTCCCGGTACTTGGCAGGTCCATTAAGATGTGGACATGGATGGTAGGGGGTTGTAGAGAGGAAGCAATGAAAATACCTAAGAGTAAATTATTTAAATAAGTCTTGAAAACATCTCCACTTCAAAATTCACCTGGACTTCTGTTAAGAGGTTAAGGTACCACCACTTCAAAATTCACCTGGACTTCTGTTAAGAGGTTAAGATTAAAAAAACAACAACAAAACACAACAGCCCAGCGGGCGTGGCTCAATGACTGAGCATCAATCTGTGAACCAAGAGGTCACAGTTCCATTCTTGGTCAGGGTACATGCATAGGTTTCGGGCTGGATCCCCAGTAGGGGGGGATGTAAGAGGCAGCTGATCAAAGATTCTCTCTTTCCCTTTCCCTTTCCCATTGCAATCAATAATATATATATATATATATATATATATATATATATATATATATATATATGAAAAAAAAACATTTAATCAGCCGAAACCGTTTTGGCTCAGTGGAAAGAGCGTCGGACTGCGGACTGAATGGTCCCAGGTTCGATTCCAGTCAAGGGCATGTGCCTTGGTTGTGGGCATATACCCAGTAGGGGGTGTGCAGGAGGCAGCTAATTGATGTTTCTCTCTCATCAAAGTTTCTCTCTATCCTTCTTCCTTCCACTCTGTAAAAAAATCAATAAAAAACATTTTTTAATACACTTTGCTGGTTCACAACTGTGAGGTTGTTTCTACCTTTACTTAATTTTTCATAAGCACTGATTTTATCCAGCAGGCTCAGGTTGATTTGACCACAGATTCTTTTTAGGGTGTCCAAATTTCTTTTCCCAAGGATGAGTCTCTTCTCCATCTCCATGAAAATATCAAGCAAGCTCTAGAGGGAGGAGACATAAAGTTGGAAGACGGAATTGGGCCATTGACTTTTAGATTAGATTTGTTGTTTTTACGTGCCCTTTCTCCAACCCAAGGGGCCACCCTCGCTTCCCAAGCAGACTCTCCTAAGAGGACAGCCTGGTCTTTCCAAGCCAATATACTGCTAGGAGGGCTCTTCCGTGTTTTCTGCCCAGAAGTAGAGAAGACAGAGGAGTCACAATATCCCTCCCCAGGACCTGGGCCCTGCTCTAAAATCACCTGTGACGCTTTCGTGTGAAACAGCCAGAGGTGCACGCTGAGACAGCCATGGCCCCCATGGTGACAGCCTGGGAACTGCCTCACACCCAACATTTCCTCTGGTGTTACACACACACACACACACACACACACACACACCACACATATAAACACACATGCACACACAGCAGACACACAAAACTACATCAGACACAGACACCTGTCTCTCGTGGCTCTGCAGAGTCCCACACCCTCTTTTCTTCTCCTGACACTGCCTTGCTCCTGGTCATTACTGTGAGGAGCACTTCAGAGCATACAAAGAGGTCACATCTACAACCCTCATGCCTGACGGCTTTCTTCTTCAGCCCGGGCTGAAAAGTGAGAATCAGGCTGCTTTTGCCGGAGTAGCCCTCCCTTCAGCCTCAGCGATGCCCACCGGCCTGCTCTTCCCCGGGACTGAATCCTGGCATGACACCAGGTCTTACCACGCTTTCCGCCAGTTTGTATCTGGAGAGCTCCTGGTTCAAAAAAAACTTAATCTCCTTCAATTCCTGTGCAGTTACATCTTCTGAAATCTGGAAAAGCATGACCCTGCGGTGGGAAACGGAGACACTTGAGAAACGCTTTTTTAAATAATTCCTCCGGTGATACAAGGCGCCCCGAAAGGCTGGCTTCCGATGGCCTCCCTTCCACAGAAAGCCAGCTCGTGGCAGGGGTGGGAGCTGAGTGCTTGGGGAGGGGCTGGCATAGTGACACAGAAGACCACTGCCTCATGTCCCACCATCCAGCCTTAACAGAATTGAACCAACTGTCCTTCAGTTCATGTCAGTTCCACAAACTGTGGTTTCCCATCGTCTTCACTAGAACATCCAGATCTCGTTGCAACAAGAAAGCTTTGATTTTGGAAATGATGTTTTTCAAAATGCAAATCCGATCATCGCTTCCTAATTAGAACGTGTCAGGGTTCCCAGCCATCGCCTTCAGTAGGAAGGCCAGACACTCAGAACCTCTGTGAGTTGAGCCCAGCCTAACCCTTCATCTTGGTCACTCCTCACCACCTCCCACTGTCTCTTCTCCGAGCACACCCAGCTGCCCTGCCCCTCACCCCTTTGTGCCTAGGCCCCCACCACACCCCTGCTCTCTTGTCTCTCTTTCGACAACCACTCATCCACTAACAGCTCAAGCACAGCCTGAGTACATTCACCCTCTGTGCCTTTGTGTTGCCTAAAGATTAACAAATAAATCCTCTGTTTATTATGCTCTCTAAATCCCCTGAGAGAAGGGCCCAGGCCCGGTTTGCTCCCATAAGCTTGGAGGGATGTGAGGGAGCGTGTTTAAATGCAGGGGATCCAGACTAAGGATGTTGGGTCCCACCATTTATGAGCTGTGTGACTTCAGACACGTTACACACGTTTGTCTTCATTGTGGACCGCAGATGCTTCTGGGTCTGCTCGTTGGACTGTGTTGGGGGTTACATGAATAAGTTTACCTGCCATTGGCAGTTGTTGGCAACGCACTAAGTGCTCGACACACGGCATTATTATTTCCTAACCTATGGTAGGATTTGGGGATATGCTTGTTCAATGAGAAGAGGAATGTTTTATAAGTCATCCAACTTTCATTATTATGTTGTAAAGGAAACAACTTTAATGCAAAAACACGTTAACCTCAAAGTTAAATTAGAAAATTAAAGTCCTGAAAATAAAAGTAGTATTATCATCTGCTTCATCCTTCTCGTGGAACCTCTACCCTAGGAGTATTTTGCTAAAGCTTTCTCACTTGGGCCAAGATTGGGTCCAATCTATTGCCACTGCCCCTTTTAACTTTACTACCAGGTATTTTTCCCTTTTACTTTCCTCATATTGAAACCTACTAGCTTTCTTGTACCATCACTGTCTACAAATAAACCTGGATATATTTAGGTAGCAGTCCTACTTTGACATTTTAAATGTCTAGTGTTTTCTTACAAATGGAAAGCGATCACACGTGTATTTTTTATTTACTGGCTAATGATAAACAATGAAAGAAGCAGTAGCTTGTACTTGTGCTGGCTCCACCCCCCTACCCCCAAACTAGCATACTGAATATTTTAACAGACAGATTCTGCCCCTGGCAGGGACCCCTGACCCTATAGGAGGGACAGGCCATGTCTGGCACTGGCGGGTTGTTTCAGTCTAACAGCCTCCAGAAGACCAAGGCTGAGACCGTCCAGGTCCTAGTTTGGGGGATGTTGCTTTTTAGGATTAATTGGTATTTAAAGATTCCTTAAAGGAACTTCTCAATCCTATTAAAACCAAAGTTCCCAGTATTGAATAGTGTCCTCCTTCCCAACTCATGTTCACCCATAACACATCAATGTGACCTTATTTTAAAAAGGTCTCTCTGTTGTGATCTCGTTAAAATAAGGTCATATTGGATTCGAGTGGGTCCTAATTCAATGACTGGGTCCTTACAGGAAGAGGGAGATTCAGACAACAGACACAAAAGGAAGCATGGAGAGAGGGGTTAGATTGATGATTCTACAAGACGAAGGCTACCGAGAACAGAGGATTTTTAAAAAAGAGAAGTAGGGCCAAAACCGGTTTGGCTCAGTGGATAGAGTGTTGGCCTGTGGCCTGAAAGGTCCCAAATTTGATTCCGGTCAAGGGCATGTACCTTGGTTGCGGGCACATCCCCAATAGGGGGTGAGCAAGAGGCAGCTGATCAATGTTTCTCTCTCATCAATGTTTCTAACTCTCTATCCCTCTCTGTAGAAAAATCAATAAAATATATTTTTAAAGAAAAAGAAGTAGGTAATGTGTTTTAATTTTTTAAGTTTTGAGAATCACAAAGATGTAACAGGAAGTGACTTATCACTCTAAGTTACCCGAGTCTCCCACGGGTGGGGACGGGCTGAGCTGCAAGGCCTTTGGCAGGATTGACACCCATGTCAGTGTTATTCTCTGAGCAGCAGCAGGCCTCACCCCGGCTAAGCAGTCTCTGAGGGCTCTGGCCTGGCCCCTGGTACACCTGGCAGCATGTCCCTCATTGGAGGATTCTATAATGCAAGTATTGAGAAATTCTCCATTGAGAATTTCCAGTCATCCACAAGTGAGTGGGAAGAGGATTTTAGGTAAAAAATAGTGATGTGATATCTAAAACTAGAGGCCCAGTGCATGAATACTCTAGTGGAGTTCCTTGGCATGGCCTGTGGGGATAGGGCCATGGCTTGTGGCTGGGGAGGAGCCCAAACCCTGGCCTGGCACCACGCCACTCCTACTCATCCCAACCCAACTGTGCATTAAGCTTGCCCATCGTGAGAGCACACAGACCACCCGAGGGCAGCTCCTGCATTGAGTGTCTGCCCCCGGGTGGTCAGTGCACATCATTGTAGTGACTGATCAACTGGTGGCTTGGGCTTTTATATATATAAATAGACAAAGTAAGCACATAATGTGGGCATCAAGAAAACAGAAATACCAAGACAACAGACACAGAAGGAGTGTTAGAACATTTAGAAAAGGTCTATTTTAATGGCAGCATATTTGCAGGTAATGTTTCACTTTACAATTTTATTTTATGGTTTGAGCTTTTTTTTTTTTTATTTCCTTCCTGAATTCTACATCAGGTCTCCACATTTCTTCATCTGGAAATAAGAAGCCATCTTCCCAGAGCCTCCAAAATCATTCTACATTAACAACGTGCAATTAACTCTCCCACAGAGATGTGTCCGCTCCCCCCACTTCCCGTGCTGAAGCTGCAAGATGGTCCCCACCTGTACGGAGAGATCTGAGCCCGGCCCGGGATCTGAAGCTCCTTCCGCATCTCCTCCTTGCTGGTCTTCAGGCCCTTTTCCAGCAGATCCAGCCTGTCGATTCGGAATAGCAGCTCCCTCAGGAAGGACAAGTTGCTTTCCTCCAGCATTCTCTTCTCCTGGAGTTTCTCGAAAAGCATCAAGGCATCCTTGATGGGCTCCTGCTTTCCCGGTGGGATGTAGTCCAGGCTCAGGAACTTGAGCGCGGCCACCTCATAACTGTTCAGCGCTTCCCCAATTTTATACAGACAGCTGCTGAAACTCATGCTTGTCCGTGTTAGTCAAATGTAGCTATAGCCTAGATCAACACACAACATTATGATGAGGAAGAAAAGTACCAATAACTGGTTGGTTCCCTCGTCAAATGCTATGGCATTTGCCATACATGTCAGACATTTTGCTGTAGGTACAGGGAAGAAAAAAAACAAACAAACAAGCTCCTGCTCTCAAGTAGCTTACTGTTTGGGATGGTCGATCTATAAACTAGCCAATGGTTGGAAGAGTCGTGATCAGGGTGCAATAGGAACTATAAATGTGAAAATTCACTTGGAAGTAGTGGTTCTCCAACTCTCTGCAAAGCAGAAGAAGGCTTTGTTAAAGTCTCACTCACACTCTTCACTCTTCCTTGCCTTCAGAGGTGCCTGGAGAGCTGCTGTGTGAGAACCTTGGACTAGGAAACCTTGAACTTCCCATCCGGCTCCATCATCCCCTCGATCCCACAGACTCTGTGCCTTTGGCACATTCCTTGACCTCAAGTAACCTTGACCTGTTTGGACTCTTTTCCTTTCTAAAGCAAAGCAGATGGTTCCTGGCTCTTTAAGCTCCCTGTATTTTACTAACATTCTTGGGTGAAAATGCAAATCTTGATTACACTCAGAGGTATTAAGCAAAGGTAGTGAACCAGGATCCATATATTCTGTACATATGATATTAAAATAGAAATACTTTTGATTTGCACATGAAGGTAAGTGTTAGGTCTGATCAAATAATTGAATCATTCCCCCCCCTCCCTTGGAAACTGACTTTTAGGCCACTTTCACAACAGACATTCCACTCGCTAAAGACGGTCACCTCTTCCCTGCAGTTCTTCCCAGGATCCAGACCTGCACAGAGAATTCTCTGCCCACCCCAAGTCCCTTAAAAACCTTTGGCTCCCAAACCGGTTTGGCTCAGTGGATAGAGCGTCGGCCTGTGGACTGAAGGGTCCTGGGTTCAATTCCGGTCAAGGGCAGGTACATTGGTTGCGGGCACATCCCCAGTAGGGGGTGTGCAAGAGGCAGCCGATGGATGATTCTCTCTCATTGATGTTTCTAACTATCTATCCCTCTCTCTTCCTCTCTGTAAAAAATCAATAAAATATATTAAAAACAAAACAAAACAAAACAAAAAACCTTTGGCTCCCATCTTTGGGTGCTGGCTCCACCTGGGAGCAATTCCATCTGGTATCCAGATGAATTAATAAATTTATAATCCAGAACCACTTTGGCCTCATGCATTCCTTCGTTGGTGGCCCTTACAGTAAGCTTTACTTTTTTTTTTTTTTAACTGACTAAAAAGACTGTGAGCCTTTTAAAAATCACCTTCCTATCTGCACTTTGATTATAAAACCAGTGGGGTTTTTTGGTGAAATTTTAAAATGAGTTATAATATGGTCCCAGTTATCATTACATACAACACACACACACACACACACACACACACACACTTATACAAAAATTAGGATCAGGCTGCATATTCAGGTGTATACACATCCCCTCTCCGCCACACACACACTTAACAACCTATATAATAAAGATGTAATATGCAAATTGACCATCACTCCAACACACAAAATGTGGTCAAAATGGCCCCCATGTAGATACAAGATGGTCGCCACAAGATGGCCAGCAGAGGTCAGTTGTGGGCGATCAGGCCAGCAGGGGAGGGCTGTTAGGGATGACCTGGCCAGCAGGGAAGGGCAATTGGGGCAACCAAGCTTGCAGGAGAGTGGTTAAGGGGTGATTAGGCTGGCAGGCAGAAGTGGTTAGCAGCAAGCTCGTTCCCTAAATCACACTCCATAGGAACACACCTGGGTGCTCACCAGGGTATGCTCCTGGCGTCTCATCACAGCATAACGGGTAACCTCAAGGACCCAGGAGCATCTCACACGTTCTTCAATAAAGGGTCACTAAGCGAGCTAAGGTGTGGTCATGCCACACCATATCACGCAGAGGTTAAAAAGTGCATTCCATCCCCCGAACTACAAAGGGATAGAGATTCAAATTATGTTGCTATGATGACAGTGAGAAAAAAAAAATTGTACCCCTACTTTTTTAAAATACTCAAAGCAATACAATTAGATTTTCAGTGACTACAGACACCTATGTAAAAGTGAGGTCTGGAGGGAGACGTACCGTACTCATCAAGTTGTTCCTCCTGGAGATGGAGGGGAAAGTGACCATGTGGGGCCGAAGGAGTGAGGAAAAGCAATGTGCCTTTTCCTGTCACGTGTTAAGGAGAAAATATGCAGGTACCCTCTGGGTGAATTAAATGGAACTTAAAACACCAGCCTGGGTATGTCTTGTGTTTAAGAGAGGGGAACAAAGTGGATGGAGGAGGGGCAGGCAGTGAGGTTTGGGAGAACCTGAGGGGAGAGAACCCCATGGAGATAAAATCATGGAGGAATGACACAATTCCATGCGTGTTTTTACAAGGAAAAGGGGTGGGGGGGACTAGAAGGACCGAACATTTAAAAAGAACTCCAGAGAACTCAAAGAACTTACTTTCTTCAAAATAGCCGGAAACACCCACACATCTCTCTGTGTCTGAAAAATCTGGTGGGCTGAATATAGGAAGACTACAGAAGAACCGCATGCAAGAACCTCTATTTAACAGGCATTTCCTCTCAGTGGCAAATACACATCTATTCAAACACGGACAGAATAATCACAAACCCTGTCCACAGCCCTAACCGGTTGACTTAGTGGATAGAACATTGGCCTGAGGACTGAAGGGTCCCAGGTTCAATTCTGGTCAAGGGCATGTACCTTGGTTGTAGGCACATCCCCAATAGAGTGATGAATGTTTCTCATAAATGTTTCTAACTCTCTATTCCTCTCCTCTCCTCTCTGTAAAAAAAAAAATCAATAAAAAATATTTTTTTAAAAAGGGGAAGGGGCCAAGATTAGAAATGTACTCATATAATACCTTAATAAAAAGAAAAGAAAAGAAGAAGCCCAAAAAAAGTTTTTAAAAATTAAAAATAAATTAAGTCCTTTTGAAACTTGAAAAAAACAAACAGAAAAAACCCTGTCCACAAGGAAAATTCTAATAGATTTCCAAAAAGCAGAAATAATATAGCCTATGTTTTCTGGCTATTAGACATTAACAATGAAATTAGAAATTATCATGTTAATTAGAAGTTAACAATGAAAAATGGCCCAGTCAAACACATCACCAAAAAAACGGCTCTTCACATTTAGGTGGCTTTTTAAACACATGGTGTTCGAACAAATGGGTAGACTTCTGGGACAGCTGAATCCTAACTGAACTCCTTACATCAAAATAAACTGCAGATGGGTCAAAGATTAAATCCTTAAAATTAAAATACTAAGATAAGACAGGAGAATTTTTAAAAATAATCTTACAGTAGTGAAGAACCTCTCTAAGTATGACAGAAAACCCGAAAGCCATCAAAGAAAGGTTGATAAAATGTATTTAAATAAAAACAAATATTCTGGGAGGGGGAAATCCACAAATTTTCAAAACATAAATAAATCTTGCACTGGGAAAAGTGGGGCAGTAATATGTAATAGAAAAGGGACTATTGTTTTTTTTAAAATAGGACTCCTACATGGACATAGATAATGGGGCAGTGAGGACTGGGGCAGGGGGTGGGGACAGGCTGAAGAGGGTCAATGGGGGGGAAAGGGGTAATATATGCAATACTTTCAATAATAAAGAACTATTTTTAAAAAATAAAAAATGGGAAGAGAAAGAAAAGAAAAACTAAAATGGGGAGAGGAGAAGAAAAATTAGAGGAAAAAAGAATTATTATTATTATTATTATTAATTATAATACAATAATTAACAACTAACAATTCAAGAATAAACTCTCTGCTGAAATCAGTTTAGCTCAGTGGATAGAGCATCAGCCTGCAGACTGAAGGGTCCCAGGTTCGATTCCGGTCAAAGGCATGTACCTTGGTGGTGGGCACATCCCCAGAAGGGGGTGTGCAGGAGGCAGCTGATCGATGTTTCTCTCTCATTGATGTTTCTAACTCTCTATCCCTCTCTCTTCCTCTCTGTAAAAAAAAATCAGTAAAATATATCTTAAAAAAAAAAAAAAGAATAAACTCTGTGTTTCATGTACTCACAACTGTAAACCTACTTTGCCCACCCTGGATGTACATTACAATTCAAAGCCAATGATTCTGTCTCATAATTGATGTTTTTCATTCTCTCCCTCTCCCTTCCTCTCTGAATAAATAAAAAAATATATATGTTTTAAAAATATTAATCGAACAAAGTTTCTAGCTCAGGAGACTGTCCGGTAAACGCAGGTGCCAGGGTCCCTGTAGTTAGAACATGAGTTTACTTAGAGCATGACTGGGGCTGGGCTCCTGTCCTCGGTAGTCAGCTCATGTCGCTATCTATCTTACTATCTCTGCAGTAACATGACAATGTTTTCTAAGTGATTTTTGCATCGAATCAAAATGGCCACTTTGTAAAATGCTGGTGAGGTTTCTTTCCAGGCTCAGGGCTCCCAGCACACACCGGTATGACTGACAATCAGTCTGTTTGTTTGTTTGTTTGTTGTTTAGGTCACTTAGTTTTCTAGTCATAGTGCCTGGAAAGCAATCGCCTGCGTGAGATTTTCCACCATTAACCACAGGCTGCAGCTGGCACGGGGTCCTAACTATAGGGACCCTGGGACCTCCGTTTACTGGACAAACTCAAGAGCTAGAAACATGATGAGATTAACATTTTTAAAATATATTTTTATTGATTTCAGAAAGGAAGGGAGAGGGAGATAGAAACATCAGTGATGAGAGAGAATCATTGGTTGGCTGCCTTCTGCACTCCCCACACTGGAGATGGAGCCCACAACCCGGACATGTGCCCTGCCCAGGAATTGAACCGTGACTTCCTGGTTCACAGGTCAACACTCAACCACGGAACAACACCCGCCGGGCAGATTAATTAAAAAAAAACAAAAAACAACAAAAAAAAATTCCTCGTTGCATTTTTCTGATCCTAAAATAGTAGAAGTAACACTCCAAGGCAG